GCTATATAATAACGGTAATCATTTTTGCAGATTTGGTCGGTTTCAGTCAGATATGTTTCTCTATCATACCTTCCAGTATGTACTGCACTGCACTATCGACCCACTGTACATATGATCCTTTATTCTGACGTGTGACATCAAGACGCTAGTCCATTTTTGCTGGCAGAGACTTTCGTTCTCAAAGACAAACAAGGGGCTCTGATTTCTGTGTAAAAACAACTAACAAATAGCGTGCACTGTTTCGCGTCACGCGTCTTGCCGTGTTTTCGCCCACATACAATACACCGGAGGTATTAATCTTTTTGCTTTCACCATTTCTTAATCCAAGCAAATAGAGAGCGCCACGTTTTCTTTTTTTCTTTTATGCAATGTCCAAAACATGTAAACCCTAATAACCGGAAAAAATATAATAAATAAAGAAATTCGAGATAGAGTATGGGAACTCGTGATGAGGCGACTGGTGGATGATATATCGTTCATACAGCCTAGATTATAAAAATCGTTGCAAGGATGCGTTTGGGTAGAATATTTTTGATGATTGAAAAAACGTTATGCCCGTTTTCATATTAAAAATAACTCAAGAGCGAAGTGTTGGAAACACAGTCACACTAGAACGAGGGGCGGGCCGTCAAGGCGGATTGGGAGGTGAAGCTAAAAGGGGTTAAAGGAGAGGGATGGGTTATTAAGAGAGGAAAATGCGTTTTTGCGCCCCTTCCTGCAAAGCTGAATTCCTCGCTTGAGAATCTGATTAAATCCAAAGGTCAAGCCACCCATGTGGGGAAGATACATATAGTGTATAGTCGGTATACATAGTACCATTCATAGGCCCCATTCACAATAGAGTTGATCCGCGGACTAACAGATCCGCAGATCAAATATGGCGGACCCCCTTGAGAGCAAGCCACGTAATCACCGCGGGGAATCTATTCAGTGCCTGTTGGGGGATTATTGGGGGAAGCTTTCAAGTGGGTCGGCCATGGTTGATCCGCAGATCTGTTAGTCCGCGGATCAACTCTGTTGTGAAAGCTCTCATAGAGCAGCAGAACATCATGTAATCGGGTTGGGGCTTGCAATTATGTTCATCACATACAATTGTCAAGCAAAGCATTTTTTTTTATTTATTTATTTTTTTTTGCAATTTGCTAATCTAAAAGTTATGTAAGGTCACGAGTTAGATGACGGTTCAAAAATACACCATTTGTCTTGTTTTCCTCGTTACTGACTGTGTTTCCACCAGTGTGACCGTCTAGCGATCGTGCGTGCTTCTACAACTGTACGCATATCCTGTGTGAAGTGGGTTTTGATTCATTTACCAATGGAATGGAATTTATCCAGTTTATTTGGATCTTGTAAATAATATGAAATTTATAGAAATACTGGTCGTTTTTGAGTGATGGAACAGCTATTTTAGAAGCAACTGTTAATGTACTAAATAAGAACGCTAGCATAGTCATTAGCTGCACAACATTCCAATTCTGCTTTCTTTAACGTGATCTGATTGGAATTCTCAAATATTTTAAATACTTGCCATATAGAACTCTCTTAACTGCGTGTACAAGGTTAAAGAGGTATATTGTGAAATTCTAGGGAAAGGCAAATGCCAGGGGGGTGAGGTATAGGTCATCAATTAAGAAGCTGGTTACCCATGACTTGAATCAATCTCTCTCTCTCTCTCTCTCTCTCTCTCTCTCTCTCTCCGTTGGGATTCGTTTTCCTGCAGTGTCACGAAATTAATATTTTCATTAGCCGTTTCAGGTGTTTCATGATAAAATCGTAATATTGTTTTATACAGAAACTTTTAATATACATTCTACTTAATCGTTACATCCTTTAGTTATAAAACGTTATGGAAATAATATTGAGCTACTTTATTACATGAGATGTAGTAACTTAGACACCTAAGACAATGGTATTTTCCACCCTCAAAACGCTTCATCAAATACGTCATAAAAAATTATGAATTTTTCAAAAAAATTAAATCAATGAAAATGAAGAACGACAATTCTGTGTGCCTACTTGTCAAAATAATGCCCCCTCTCAAGAGATTAAGTTCAAGAGTTCAATATGGGAAAAAATAATGAAAATTACGTCACCATGACAACAAACTGTATCAACATAATAATAGTATAAGCATTAGTTACAGACCCATATTAGACTAACTAAACCTTCACACACACGCGCAAGATCACACTCTTACACCCTTTTATAAAAAATATTTATTTACCACTATTTGCAAGTAATGTTATATATATTTTAGAAAAAAGAAAAAGATTGAATGGTCCTGGTTCAAAATAAGCAGGAAGCCCCCATGGGGCATTTTGGCCTCAAAGATCTGACAAGTCGGCATATAGCAACTTATTAGCCCTGCTTCTTGAAACCCCTTCCCACGTCATTTAATACCAATTAAGTATTGATCTTTAAAACATATTCTTAATTAAAAGATTTGACATGTTAAACAGCTGGAAATCATATCACTGTTCACATCCCAAGTGTAAACAATTTTTCGATGGCACCTTCTTGAATGGTTAAATAAAACACGCTCTGGACAGAATAGACAACCTTAGAGAGCGACAAATAAAAAAAAAAGACTAGCCTGACGAAATACTTGGGATTAAAACACAAAACTGCCATTAATAATTGAAAATAAAAAGACAAAGGATGAAGAGAGGCAGGGAATTTTTCAGATAAAAAAAAAAGATTCGAAAGCTGCCCCCCCCCCCACCCCCACCCTCCCATTACAAATGTTTTGCAGGATGGGGCCTGCTGCAGCAAGTCTTGAGTATTGAGAGTACTGTAGGAAACACACACGTATCCTTTGCTACGCCCAATACTGATACAATCTCTACACCGTAACTAAACATACCTCATACCACTCTCTAGCAGAAAACAGCGATATTTTGACGCACGCTGTTTTGTCTAGTCTGAGAAATCGGTTCAGGTAGAGGTTTGGCAGAGCTGTATGGCTTGCACTAATTAAGCAAGATTAGCGTCGTGGTCGCTGTTAATCGAACCTGTAGAGATGTATCCTATATGTGTCCTTTATTATATAACAAGTTATACAAGTGCATAGAACGTCAATATCCAACAGGGGTCTTTGATGGCTACATGCGTGTAATAAGGGCGGTCAGAAAAAGAAACCATAGCAGCTAGGGTGGTCCTTCGGCACCACATTTATTAATGTAACCGGTAGTGTGGTTACACTAATTGCGTAGAGGACAAACTATTCAAGCGTATTTTACACTGCTCTTTATTCTTCACACACGAGCTACAGGCAGTGGCTTACATGCAGGAACGGTCGTCTCTGTGGTCTCCCGCAGGGTCTCTCTCTACCGTTTTTGATCAACCTTTATGTGCACAGACACAGATGTGTCTGTACATATAGCCGTCACTCACCTGCGTCTGTCGTCGCCCTCGCCGTGCAATTTCAGTGATAACACGATAAGTGGAAAACCATTTTACCTTTTGTCTTCATTTTGTCTTCAGACCTTATGAATATTTATAAAATATAGGTACAGTTAAAATAATCAGCATGATCGGGCCATTTTTTTTTTCAAAAGTTATGTTGTTTTTTTTTCGCTTTCTTCAACACATACGCAACACTGATAACATGTTTCAAGGAAAACCCAAGGGCCTATGTCTTGAAACTCACAGGAGTGATCGATCTTACTGAACCGGATATTTAAAATTGTTCTATTGATAATTTTCCCATCTTCACAATTTTCTTAGTTGATCATATAAAAATGAAGGAAAATCGATAATTTTGTATTATGTAAAAAAAAGTGTTGAAAATGGACGTTAACTCATTTTAGTACAGTTATCTCTTGTTTGTAACATTTTAGCATTTTCAAGGTGAGACTTTGAGGCTCCATGGGCCTGAATGCCTTTGCTAGTCACATTTTATAAATATCCATGTCACCTGCAGTGCAAGATTGGTGGTGATTATGCTATTAAGTATTTAAATATTGCATCTAAGTTGAAGAAAAACCTATTTTGGGCATTGCCACCATAGTGACCATTAAAGGAAAACCATGTCACTATTCTCAAATTTACGGGAATGAAACATAGGACTAAAATAAAGTTTCAGTTGGAAAATCATTCTGATTGTTTAATTTTTCTGGAAGTTATACAGTTTTTTGTGAAATGTTAATATTTCACGTATTGGCATTTTCAAGGTATGACTTTGAACTTCCATGGACTTGAAAACCTTTGCTAATCACATTTTCTGAATATCCATAATACTTATATTTATGATTTTATTATTAAAAATTGATGCTCATTATGCTGTTAAGCATTATATAATAATATTGCATCAAAATTGAAAAAATCCCTATTTTGTACACTGCTGCTGTGATGACCATTAAGGAAAAACCATGTTACTTATTATTCTCAAACTTAAGAAAAAAGAAACATTGGACTTAAATACAGCTTGAGTTGGAAAAGCAGTCTAATTGGCTTCTAGAGGTTATACATTTTTGTGAATATTTCATTTTTCACATATTGGTATTTTTAGTTTGGGACTTAAGACTCCCACTGGCATCAGCCCAATTGGTAATCAAATATTCTAAATGCCCATGACATGTATAGTAGATAATTAAAAAAATGGTGTTAATTAAACTGTTAATCATTATATAATATTGCATTAAAATTGACAAAAAAAAAACCCTACTTTGTACTCTTTAACTTACAAGAATGATTCCTTAAATTGACATACAGCTAAAGCTGGAAAACCAGCTTGGTTGGTATATAGTTTTTTATTAAAATTTATGCAATTTTTTATGAAATTTTCAATTTTCTCATTCTGGCATTGTCAAAGTGTGAACTTAAACTCTCATGAGCCTGAAGCCTTAGGCTTCGTTCACATGGAAAGTCTATTTTCTAAAAATCTATTTTCTATTCGCGGTATATCTTGTGATCACGGCCTGTGCCCTGAATGTCCCGCGGCGTAATTACTGGCAGCGCGAGCCAGTTACTATAAGTTACTATAAGTAACACATCCAGTTAGTGAATCAAATTCACTTTAATTACATTTTTCACAAGTAAACTATTGGTTATACTTCGACACTGGCTAACAGTCAATTGAACAATGTATTTTGACTAGAATAAATAACCGTGCCTTTCCCGTAAACAACATTATAAAAACTAATCACTAGAAATATATGTGTATATGCCTTGCCCCTAACATGAATACACTAGTGCTAGAAGGTTACATAACAATCATGCTGGTGGCACATGTACAATAATCCTGGGTCATTTAGAGTGATCTGTTTAATTTGAAGAAAATCAGAATACAGGATTTTATAATAGGTCTCTGCTGCCTTTTCAGAAATGACAATATATCCAGCTATGACGCTACCAAGAAGGGAGATGCCTTTTGCAGAATACAACTAGCAATCTGTGGTTGGTTACCATATTCAACAAGATGGTATTAATTCTTAGGAAATCTTTGAAGTTCTTTTTTTGCGGTTGCACAATGAAATTACTATCCTCACAATTAAGGCGAAGTTTAATAAAGTTTGCATGTCCATGGTTCGTTGGCTTAACCTATGCTGACGATAGACAAACCGCTTAAAGAAAACCATTGTTATACAATACAAAGTTGTATTTCAATATAGCTACTTTGCATTGCCTAAAAAGTAAAATCTTCATTGTTAATAAATTTGTACTATTTTGCCGTTTATTTATTTTTTTTTGTTTTGCCAGATTCATTGAATATCATTAGTTTGAACTTCTCATTTATATGAAGTTGCCACTTTTTTCTTAAGAGAATACTACAAAAACCAAATTTTTTTAGAAAAAAACCAGGGACTAACTTTGAATGTGGTAATGAATTCATTTACCATTAGTATGGGAATATTGGCCTTTACCCCAGGAAAATCCATTTTTTTGGTCAAAATGAACAGTTGTTATCCCTTTAACCTGTCTGTGTGAATTTTTTTGTCTTTTTGTAATTTCTTTTTAAATTTTTGTTGTCTTTTTGTAATTTCCTTTTCAGAAAACAACTGACACCTTTTTATTCTGAAAATTTAATGTTCATGACATTTCTTTTCATCATATTCACCAGCTAGAGCGAATCATTTGTCACTTTCACTTTTAAAATCTCAAAATTTTAATAATAATGTCATGCTTAAATGCATATAAAATCAAAATCTGATAATTATAATGCATACAACTTTTCATCATCCCTCCTGCTTATATACTATTGATAGATCTACTGCTGTCTATAATCTTGAACCTAGTCTAATAACTGACTGATTGTACCTACGGAATTGACCTTTAACAGATACACCAAGAGCCAGTTTGATGTATAATATCCACAAATGTGAAGCACTAGTGGCTGTTTCCATGGAGGTATATCTTTTCTACCTCCTTGATATAGCATACGTGTATGTACATCATGTTGATCAGTGATGTACCTGACTTACTGCTGTGAACAAAAGATCCAGGAGTAATATAACTCATGGTGTGATGAGTACTTATACTAGATATGACTGTGGATCATTTGTTCCCGACATCTGCTGTAGTATGCTTCAAACACTCATCAATAAATCCGAACTCTTGGCCAAATAGGCTCAAAAAGAGAGAAATGTCACACAGAGGTGTGAAGGTTTGTGTTTCTGTTTCAGTTCTTTTAATCTCTCTCTTTCTCTCGCTTTATCTTGATGCTTAAACTTTTTTCTGGATCACTATTGTAATTAAAATAATAAATAATTGTTTTTCAGGTTGAGAAAAAATCCATTTCTTGTTATAAACTCAAAAATTTCCCTAGGGCAAATTATTCAAATTATTTTTGATTTTCACAAACAAATAATTCTAAATTAATCATCACAAAATTAATGCCATATTGAAATAAGTTCAGTCTAGCACTGTTTTAACATTAGACCTCACATTGGACCTACATGGTACTTATTGATGATCATTTTGATTTTGTCCATAGAAATGTTGGCACCACAGGATATAATGGCCACATTCTGGTCCTTGAACTTCTCTGGCTCCTGCATAAATGCTCCAATGGCTGTGCCTGCTGCCCCCTCCACAATCTGAATAAGAAATTACCAGTAGAATTTTTTAATGTAACCTTTCATTTCAATTTGCAGCACTTTTCAAAGGGAACACATGTTTATAACATTATCAATTTATTATCTATATAAGTTTATGTATACACCGAAGAGGAGGATGGGCAAAAGGGAGCAACTGATTCAAGAACTTATTGAATATTAAGGAGGGCAACTTACTGTCATTTATAAGGGTACATATCAAAGAAAGAAGACTTATCATTCAATATAAACTTGGTATTTTTACACATTGATGTTGAAATGCAATTTATGAAAAACCATGAAACAAGAAAAAGAACAAAATGAAATCAAGTCCGGATGAGCAGGAGTCACCTGTATGTCTCTGCTATCACATGAATTTATTGTTTCTCTTTTCAAATAGCTCCTTGACAAATGAAGCTAATTAACTTAACTGCATTAAAATTTGTCAATGACTTTAAAATGATACCATCGTTTATCTCTGAGTTAAAAAGAATCAAAATAATTACATTTCTATATACATGTCTGCAGGTTAATAAAATAATATAGTAGGAAATAAATATTATTTTGAGGGGGGGGGGGGGGGGGAAGGCAACAACTCATCAGCTCTGGCAAATCACACGTTCTAAATCCTGAAATTACATTCTATTACACTCTGATAATTAGAATTTTGTCCTGCAGCACAATTCCATCAGTTTTCTGAAAAAATTAGCTTTAATAACAGCTCTATATTAAAAAAAAACATAATCATTTAATACTTCTTGTACCTATATTATAAATTACATTTATAGAATGCAATTTTCTTGAAAACTTTTATTTACAAAAAAATAAAAATAAATAAATAAATAATTTTTTTTAAATCATGCTGATGACTTTGAACAGGTTATCAACTTTTCTGTTTTTATGTATTATGTCTAATAAATAAAAAGATTATACAGCAATGAGTATTATGTATTTTTAACCAGGTTTCCTTTGGGTTTAATTAGGTTTAAACCAGGTTTAGTACACCTGGATGCATTTAAGCCAGACTAATTAATTCTTTTTTTAAACCAGTCATACTAACATATAATACTCAGTAATGAATTCCAGGAAATCAGAATGCTGTTGACATGCATTTTCCACTCCTTTCCTACTCAAGTACTGCACTTTGCCTTGGTGTACATTCATCTGCCCAAACACTAGAGCCTCACCTAGCACACCAGCTACCATTGCAGCATGATGGTCTCACCTAACACACTCACCCTGTGATGGTGTTCCATCATGAAGTAGATTGCCCTTTCTATCTGCTCCTCTGGCACCAGGATCCACTCATCTATGTATTTTTTGCAAAATTCGAAGGTCACCTTGAAACGAGCAGACAAGAAATTTAAGATCAAAACTTTTAAGCTTTTCAAATCATGCAGGGGATAGGGAAATGGCTCAAATACTTTCTACAGGAGATATGTAAGATGTTCAATTAAGTTTGCATTACATGCCATCATAAAATGCAATAAATGATGAATCCGAAATGTTTAATGCAAGATGAAGTTCAATTATTAAAAGCACAACCATTTGTCAGACTCATTTGTTTGTGTGAATACTTGATGAGGATTAAAATTATACTGTATGGCCACTTGTTTCAAATGCTTCAGATGATCCTAAAAAGCAGATTGTAGTGATTAATCGGAGAAAAAAATAAAATCTAAGCTAATAGGCTGTTTTTGGTTTGCACAGGTTCCAGCCTCTTTTCTTTTCCTCCAAAACATAGTAAGTTCACCTCGTTAACTTCTAAAAAAATTCACAGATTTATAAGTAAAACCTACTGCCCATGATTTTAAACTTAGTCTTCCCTTCTGGAACTCACCGAGCCTTCTTCAATTCCCCCAGCAGTGCCATCAGACAGAGTGTCTCCAGAGTCTTCAAACAATATCCTTCCCGCTTTGACACATTCAAACATCACCTTGGACAAGCTGGGCTGACAACCAATGATCTGAGCAAATTTTGAAATGTATGTACATCATTATATGCAATTACTTTACTATGTCTATTTAAGTTCATATTCATTTTTATTAGCTTTAATTAGTCAGCAAATTTCATGGTTTTAAGATTTATCTGTAATATTTGTAAGCAGAGCTGCGATGTTTATACAGAGCACAGTTTTAAGATATTAATTGTCATTTTTATAAATAAATGTACAAAAAATTACAATATATCATATTTTAAAATTACAACAAATCAGTGCATGTCATCCCCCCCTCCCCCTACTTACTCTCACTTCTGGCTTTACGTGCTTCATGAATGCAGCTATCCCAGATACCAACCCTCCCCCGCCCACTGATATCAACACAGCGTCTACATCAGGCAGGTCCTCAAAGATCTCAGCTCTAAAAAGACAGAGGCACACAGACTTAATGGATGGGGCCATAGCAATAGTCCAATGGTTCATTGGTCTGAAGGTCCGATAGTCTGAATTAATGCATGAATAAAATGTTTAGTTTACAGGTAATAAAGTAAAGTTCATCAGAGGCACGTACAATATTTCAGTTCAATGATCCTTCGGACCAATGAAGCTTTGGATTCTCGAGATGCCCCCCACTGGACTGTAAAGACTGTCAGACATTTTCCATGTGTGCATGTAAAAATATTTACCATTCCATCCCCTTCCCCTCATTTTTGATGGAATACTTGCTATAAGCAATCTTTGTGCATTCAGTGACATTCATGGATGGAGGTCTAAATCAAAGTTTTCTTTTATATCTATTAAAGTTGGAAGGCTACATGACTTTTGCTATGCTGCATACCACTAAAGACTTTCATTAAAAATATTTTCAATGATAGAATATTGACAGCCGAGTTGTTTAGAACTGAACATAGCATACAATAAATTATTTTAATTAATACAGGGTCAAAAAAGGGCTTTGTCACTTTATCATGCTGTTTACTATGACATACCCAATAGTCCCCTGGCCAGCTATAACATCAAGGTCATTGTATGGTGAAATGTATGTCGCCCCTTTATCCTGAAACAAGTGTGCTGTCATACATAAGTATGTATACAGTAATTACTTTATCTTTTCAATGCTATCAATAATCAGTCTTTTAGGTACATCATTCTGCATTGAACAGAACTATAAAGTAACCTGCTTTTTTGACTTTAAAAGATAAAGTATCTGCAAAATTCAAAATCTTCCTCATTTAAAAAACTGAGTCATTTGCATACACCTTCCTTTGTCATCTACCCTTTACTTTAGACTTCCTTCACTATACCTGGGATATTACTGTAAAAGATTGGTTATGGTTGCTATACTGTAAATTCAACTAATGGTCTCAACTTTAAATTAGATGAAATATTACAATTCTAATTACCAGAGCTGTCTGTCTGCCTTTTTTCTCTGTCTCCACACAGTCCATGCCGTGGTAAAGCAGGCTGACACCTGTCAACTTCAGTTTTTCATTTTTAGAACTGGAAACATTCTCTGGGATAAAAATGGTTCCTTGAACTCCAAGGGTTTGCATGGCATGTGTCTATGGTACAAAAACAAGATTGCCACTTCATTTGCAATGATATTCAAGTGTGAGAAATTTCAGGGGGTTTTTTTCATTAAGCTCCTAGTTCTTACAATTGTATTGGTTTAAGTTAATCATTAGACATATGTATTGGGCAAGTCAACATCATTGAAAAAGAAAAAATCACAAGTAGAAACATTGCTATTCTAATTACCAAACAGGGGTGGGTTGACCGTCTTTTGGGTCTTTCGGAAGACTTTCATGATCAGATTCTCAAGTTTACATTGAGGAGTATCTAATTTTTTCTGTCTGAAGATGGACAAATATGGAAGATTGATCAACAAAGATAATTTGTAGGACTGTTAGAAAATTTTTTCTAGATCCACCCCTGCCAAAATGTACATGTACTGTATATACCAAAAGCACATCTTAACTTACACAAGCCAGTGCATGGTTGCCCGAGGAAGAAGTGATTGGTCCTTGCTCTTTGACTGCAGGATCTTCTTCCAGCAGCTTGCTCAACTTGTTAAATGCTCCTCGTGCTTTCATTGAACCTGTCACCTGCTCATTTTCTGCAAATCAAAGGATAAAATTAAGAAAACACATTAATCTGATTATGAAATATACACGCAGACATGCCCAACTATTATTTTAGATTTTTTATAACAGACTGAAATATGGTACATGAAAGCATGTATAATCAGAGGCAGTTAAAAACCTATAACTCTTCAACTTTTACTAGCATAGTTTTTGTTATTTTGTACATGTACATGAAAGATGATAGTGGTACTAGTATTTAATTTACAGTTACCCATCTTTAAGTAAACCCTGCACTGTCCTTGATGACTCAGCACAGGGGAATATTCCAAGGGAGTTCTTCTCACATAACGCTTTATTCTCTGTTGAGCAGCTAGGATATTTGAATGGAGAGTTGGCAAACTGAGATCCACATCTGCCATTGCCGTTTCACTTTCAGAGTAGTGACTGATAACTTATGGAAAAAATGTAATGACTTTTATGTTTAGAAGTTTAAGATAATTTGGCTGAGTGAGCCCAAACCGGACCCAAACCAGGCCGATCAAAATTCACTCTTACTGCACAGAGGATGTCTAACTGTTTAATTAAAAACATGAGCATCTTAATTTTCACCTTTTTTAAAATTAAAATTTCTAAGTTAAAAGCACTTAGAGTCTATTCATAATGTTTTAATGTAAAATCCAACTCTTCGAAAGGGTTTCATGACTACATATATTTACCAGTGTGTTAAAAACAAAATTTTCCCGCGAAGAGTACTTTTGAAATATAAAACCGCACGAGTGGTTCCCCACCACCTATAATCTATCCAACGCACGAGTCCTAGTCTTCTTTCAAAAGAGATTGTAAACGAAGATCTATCTAGGTCAAGAGAAGTCAAGGTCGGTCTCGGACATAAAACTGTGACAATAGCATTCAGGTCACGATGTAGGCATGATGTCGATGATTCAAAGTGCCTTACAAATGGAATGCAGAGTGTAAGTTAGACCGGGATATTACGATGTATCATTCTAACCATATTTATAAGGTAACATTCTTATGGCGAAGTGATAGTATCAACATCAATAAACCGAGCATTTCAGACTGAGATGCGAGAGAAAACTTATAAAACCTCCCCCTTCCGTTTGTTTTTAGTTACACAATACTAAATTAAATATAGCTATCACAAAAGTGGTTCGGTGGGCGTCTATCAGCAGATAAGCACGTGTTATTTATTGTAGCACGTGAATAGATGAAACGGTTTTATATCAATATGTTTCAACTTTAGTTGAATGTCTCTCGCACATACGGCGTCTAAAATTACATTGCCCGAGACTCAAGAGGAAACGTAGGTTCTTATTAATGAATATGTTACATGCGCTTAATGTTTTGCAAGGCACTTGAAATGTGATGTGTATCATTTGTAAATGTCAAAAAGTTGTTCCGTTCCCCCTGTTTAAATTCTAGTACATCTTTTATTTACTATATGTTCAGTGACGGCCAGATACTGCACAGTGAGCCACTAGTAGGTGCTATACATAAACACAGATGAGAAAGCTAATGGATGCACAGGTATGTGTATACAGTTCCATATACCATATTGTTGTACCAGTCATTTTTTACATTGTAGAGGCATTAATTATTTCCCATCTAAAATGTAAAGAAAAATGAAGAAATAAGTACACCTCTCTACCAGGGGCAAACTTGTTGATGATTTTATTTTTAATCAGAAATTCTTCCAGATTTGACATTCTACATGTGTATCATGGATAATAATAATAATAATAATAATAATAATAATAATAATAATAATTATAATTATAATAATAATCATAATCAAAATTATTATGTTTTAATGTGTACATGATATCAGTTGCTGAAAATGTACGTATAATAGATACATAATCATCAAAATAATCATGTATCAATGTCTACATGATCAGCAACTGAACAAGTCTTAGATTATGTGGTACAGCAACTCATTATCAGTGTGAAGATGACATAAACTGTGTCCAGATCAAAATAATCATGTATCAATGTGTACATGATTTGCAGCTGAACAAGTCATGAATTATGTGATTCAGCAAACACATTATCAGAGTGGTGATGGCATGATCTGTATCCAGATCAAAATAATCAGCAAAATGATAACCAAAGCTCATATATTTAAAGGTACATATGAACCGAGCATCGGTGGAGCGTGGATTCCCAGTAACACATATAAACCACTTCTACTAGTTTCTTATGCGACTCAAATAAATTTGACATGTGAAGGGATAAACTGAATAGATCACTTGATCAGCCGTAAAAGAGCTTTGGACTGCTCCTTTCTTTAAATTTTTGGTCAGAAATTTAACCAACTTTCATGACCTACTTTTCTGCTCCATTGACATACAGCATAGAATGCTAGCAGAAAAATCCGTTCAAGCATCATTTTCAGATCAAATTAAACAATGCCTTTTGGAAATTCTCTTAGTTATACTACTTGAAACTATATGCTGGCATTTGGTTTGTTTTTATGGCAAAAAATTGACCTTATATGCATCTTTAAAGGATAATTTATATTTAATTTAATTAACAAAATGAAAGACGTTTAAAATATTTCATAAACCACTTCTTGTTATACTAATCTGTGGACAATCAATATTTTTTTTAATCAAATTTGGTATATGCCGTGAATTAATGTTGCTAAAGATAATCAAATTGACTACCTTCTGACTAACCTCATAACCTGTCAACCACACACACTGCATGTATATATTATAATTCAAAAGTCACTGCAAGAATTGAGCTTGAAGGGCTTGCAGAATTTGAAATATTGCCCCGGAAGCATAGTTTTTGGGGACTTTTTTAGTATTCTAATAATGTTACAAAGTTATGACGAGTGTCAAAAAAGGAGAATGGAAGGTTGGTTAGTTAAAGCAAAATAATGACCCCCCAGGAAAATTTCATCAAGTATGACTTTTACAAAGGAAAATCTCACACTATTCATCTTTACAACAGGTGCAAATATACTGGTAGATTAAATGACAAAGGCAAATATATCACTAATAAAAATGATTTAGTAGCACATCATGTAATCTTAAATACATTGCTACTGATTTTGAGGCTTGCTTGAAATAATCTAACTTTATCAATGTCAGTTTGACATGAAAATTTACATAATTAATTGTTTCTATTCACATGTAGTGTGTATGTTTATATATTTATATATTTAGATATATCCCATTGTCAATACAATTATCAGGGGTTTGATATGATATATTAATAAAGGTATCAAATTGTTGCAAGACTAATCTGTGTATTGTGCAATATATACATCAATCTTACTAGCAACATACAGGTAAGTGTGGCACTGCATCTCAGAATTAACATTGATAATTAAAAGTAACTACTTGAAATTTTCAAAAATCTCACTCGTTCCAGTATTTCACATTTTCAAGTTAATCCCAATAATGTTATGCCAACTCAGTTTTTGGAATTTCTGAATTGACATTTTTATATATTTCTTAATTTTCTAACAGACTTTAACTTTGGAGAATATTGTTAATATGCTTGAATTGGGTTAGTAGTTATCATATGCACTGGGCATTGCTTGATTGTTATACGTATATGAGCACTCTTATCTTTTTTGTCTTGTTTTGTTTTCAGAATTATTTATGACCAGACAGTCTGAACAAGAACTCAGGTTAAGATACTGCCAGTAAAATCCTGTATTGCATTTTCAAGAGGAAAAATCATTAAAAGATCAAAGATGACAGGAAGACAAGAAATCTTCACATATATCCCAGTCTAGTGAACCAATATTAGCACTTTAAGAGGACCTTATCTAGTCTGATTTGCTCAAAGTAAAAAAAAAGGAACTGTAAATTGTGATCATCATGTCTGCCGCAGCACCCCCTGGTGTCCATGTACCTGCAAAACGCACCATTCCCCTAGGGCGGCGGTTGGCTTACAGTGTGGGCCATGTCCTCAATGATTTGTGTGCCGCCATGTGGTTCACATACCTCCTGGTGTATTTTCATGGAGTGGTAAAATTTAACAACATCATGGCTGGCAATCTTATGCTGGTAGGCCAGATAAGTGATGGGATATGCACCCCCTTGGTCGGATACGAATCTGACAGGACAAATGGATTTTGTGGCTATGGGAAGAGGAAAAGCTGGCACCTGCTCGGTAAGTTAAATTGAAATTTGGAAGAAATTTTGTTGTCTGTGATATTTCAGTATCAGTATATATAAGTTTGTTTGCAAGAATAATGAGATTGTGCAAATTGTAATTTTAATCGCACTGATTATCGAAGTGATATTTTTCTTCCATCAGGAAATAAACTTTTGGTAGAATGACATCAGTTTTCCTCATGATTTATTACTTATTTTGGTTTATTTTAATGATATCTACTTTTTTCCAGGAGTCCTTTGTGTTGCCTGCACATTCCCCTTTCTCTTCATATCACCATGTGCCTTTGGGTGTGAAAATTCTGCTGACTGGGCCAAGTTTATTTATTACGTACCATTTGTTGTGATATTTCAATTTGGTTGGGCTGCCACTCAGATTTCTCATCTGTCTCTCATCCCAGAATTGACCAATGATGAGGGACAGAGAGTAGAGCTCAATGCAATAAGGTATGTTCTGTGAAATCTATAATATTTTTGTTCTTTTATTAATGAACTGTTTTGGGTGGATTTTATAGGGACTGCAGTTAACTAAAGCATTGTTACCTCAGCCAGTGGAGGAGGCTATTTGTGTCTATTTTTCAGTTGACGAGATATATTTAAGTTTTTCACAAATTTTGATGAAATTTTAAAGATAGTGGAAGAAGTGATTGCAATTTTAATTTGGAAGGAATAAGGGTCTTTTAACTTTTTTGTTAAGAGATGTTAATTAAGACTGAGACAAAATGTTCAGTCTTAATTAAGAGATGTTAATTAAGACTGAACATTTTGTCTCCCCTGTGGGAGTTAGTTTGAAATTCATGTTCTATCAAATTTAATTTAATCAATTGGCCCTTATGAAAATTTTTGCAAGTGATTTTTATGTTTCTTTATAAGTTTTCAAAATATATTTACAGAAGTAGATTGTGATAATGTGTGTTTATATATATATATATATATATATATATGTTTATGTATATCTGTGCCATTTTCAGATATGCCTTCACTGTTATGAGCACTATAGCAATCTACTTGATAGCCTGGTTGCTGCTGAGACACTCTGGTGGGAATGACTTGACCCCTAAAGATGCTGATAGCTTCATGGTACATTATATCTTGAATATGTCACCACTTAGCTTGTAATCATCCTTCAGCCTTTATTTCAAAATTAAACACACTTTGTGGTTGTTAATCACTATATGACATGTATATCAGTGAAGTATTTGACACTAATGATTCTTTGAAATGATTTAATGCAAGGTATGAAAGTTAGTTTGGTAGTATGCCATTGTTATCTTTAGGTGGTTATTAAAAAAAGGTTAAATTAGTTATTTTAATGGCAGTGGCTAATTGTGGTTGCAAGAATTCTTCGTGTTATTGGAGACTTATTTTTTACCACTGAGGCAAACTAAATAGAACAAAAGAGGCGTCAATTACCAAATCTTTTGCTTCTAAAGATTAAATTAATTAAAAGCTGTCAACTAGGTGAAATGCCATATATATATATATATATATATATATATATATATATATATATAATGTATATATGTATATATTTATTTTTTTTTTTCAACAGGAAATGGGCCTCATAGCTGTTGGCATTGGCTTTGTCTTTTGCATGATATTTCATATTGGAACCAAAGAAGTGAAAAAAACTGAAATTATAAGGCAATCAAGGAAAACAGTAAATGTCACTAAAGAGGATTTTGATGAAACAAAATCCCTGTTGACCACACTGGAAAAGTCTGCAGATAGAAAGCTATATATGAAGTGGAATGATTGGTTTAAAGAACATCAATTTTATATGGTAATATTTCAAAATTTTATTGAAATAATCCTCAATTTTCTTTATCTAGAATGGTGTTTAACTAAGTTCTGATATTCATTTATTTTAATGGTAATATCTCAAAACTGTCATTTCTAATTTTTTTTTGAAAATTGGGCTCAATCCAGAAGTTCTCTAAGTTGAAATAAGATCAAGTTTTGTTTCTTATTATTTTTCCATTTTATATACTGTAATTTTCATATTTAAACTTGCATATTAGTTTATGTAAACCAAAGCCTGGTGTATTTCTGATGCCATCAGTACATACACTAGATTTGCAGTATATATGTTCACATTCATTTCTGTACTTAATTATCATAATGTCATATTACACCAAGGCAGTGCAATTGAAGTTTGAACAAGGTGTCCACATTTTTCTTTTATTATCAATTTTCAGATTGGTGCTCTGTATATGTGTACCCGTTTAGTTGTGAATCTCACTCAGGTATACATCCCAATGTATTTGACTGACACTTTATACTTAGACAAGGTGAGCATTCATAGGTCACCCGATTAAACCCCCCTTTACACTGGACGGCGTCCATTCTGCATCCTTTGCGCGACCTTGAAACTGGCATCACTGTGGTGGTAGAAAGGAGGCACAAGCATCGCTTAGCTTGCAGAATGAATGCTCAATGATTGGCCGGTTGTAGGCATGAAATTTTTTTTTTACTCTCAAACGGGGCCGTACTAAGGGACGCAGAGATGGCGCCATTCAGTGTAAAGGGGGCTTAAATGTGCAGTCCTTTGTCACTTGACACTTTTGTTAGAAATGTTTATTGATTAGGTAGATGCAAATGTTATATAATATGAGTAGAAATGAGCTCTTCATGAGTATAAAATGGTATGTCATGAAGATATTCTACAGGCCCTGTAAAATGTTACCTTTTGAGATTTTGCCCAGCATGTAATACTATGTCATTGTCAGTTTCATTATTTTTAGCAATTCATTGCCATAGTTCCACTGATTATGTATGTGTCTGGTTTCCTGACCTCTGTGCTTATGAGACTGATCAACAAACTGATAGGGAAAAAGGTCAGTACAGGGTGCTTCCTGGGAAAACCTGAAGTATTGTTCTTGTGCATAACATGGCTGAAAATAGATTCATACCTGAGCTTTTCAACAGAATTAATTATTCACTCACTCGTATAAATTTATTCATTCATCTCAAGCATACTAGTTTCTGTATAAAAGCAGTCTGAATCAGATTCTTAATATCTTGTTAATTATTAAGCTCATATATTTGATCATGTTACTTAAGGGTATAATTTAAGCAGAATTCCCTTTCCACTATCCTGTGAGATGTTAAAGACCTGGTCATGGTAGGTGAGATGAGATCATTTCAGGATTGAACAGAACAAGAAAAGCTAAGCATAAATTGTAAAGCTAACTGATATCATTTATTTAAGATATCAGGATTTTAATGAAATCTCTGCCTTTTTTGTTTCAGTTTACATATCTAGTAGGAGGGTGTTTTGTTATCGGGGCGTGTGCCTGGTGCTATTTCATTACACAACATTCTCCACATAAAGAGTGGCAGGTGATAGCTGCCAGTGTTTTACTGGGAGCAGGAAGTACAACAATGCTGATCACCTCGCTGGCCATGACCTCAGACCTCATCGGTGAAAATACAGTATGTGTCCGTTAAAGGGCGTTTCATCTGATCACCTTAGATATAGCATTTGAGGTATTTTTACGTATGAAAAAAGTGGTGAAGCTATATGAAATGTCAGTTTGATCTGATACCCAGACAGGATCCTTATTTTTTAGTGATGCCAATATTTGTACTAATAATACACTGAAAATACTTGAATAAATTGGATCAATCTTGTAAAAATGAAATAAGATAAAAGAGTGAGTTGTTTGAAAATTTTACCATAATATTATATGGAGTAAAAACTGGAATGATAATTACCCTTTCTGTTCTGTATTTTTCAGGAGAGTGGTGCTTTTGTCTATGGTTTCATGAGTCTGCTGGACAAGTGTGCCAATGGGGCGGCTGTCATGGTAGTGCAGGCTCTACATCCTTGCACGTACGTGTTTTATGACCTGACACTGTATCTGGACCTATCCCAATCACCTGCGTCATCTTTTGTGGTCATTCACTTCCCTGTAGTTTTAAGTCACAAACTAAATACATGTATTAGAAAAGCTTGTTACCTGTTATTCTTACACTCGTATCAATGGTTTGTTAAGTACAATACATCTAGGGTTTGAAAACCAGCCTGTATAGACTATTTTTTTCTATTACAGGAATCTAGGGGTTGCATGCTGTCCTGCATGTACTGTATTCTACCAGAGAGTGATCTCCTTTGTTCCTGGTGGGTTTGCCATTTTGGCATTATTAAATCTTTTGGCATTATTCCCACAGAAGATAGGGACCAGGAGGAAGCAAGGTAAACACACACACTCTAATGATTCTATATAAGAAGTAATATCACACAGAGAGTCTGGTGATATTTTAAAATCCTTTGGTCTAAAGGACTGTGTATTTTTTTTTCAAAAAAATTTTTTTGATTTTTTTTTTTATTAGAAATGAAAGAATTTTTTCTGTCTTGTTATTTGAATGAAATTATAATTCCAGTGGAGAAGAGAATGAAATCTATCCGCAACACAGGTAGGAGTGGAAGAGAGTCACATTCGCCGAGTTTCTGTCAACAGAACTATGAAGTCTGTCCCAGTGGCCATGAACATCATGGTTGGGTCCTTCCTGGCAATGCGGCTGAGCAAGCTGTTATCTACGACACCCCACATTCCTCCAGGCGACCTAGCATCTATATGTCCAATTCTGCATCTGGGGAAAATGATACTTGGTCACAAAATAATACAGGGAGTAATTACGGTACTTCATCCAGGTATGATGCCTCGAGTCATTCAGTACCTGGTCATATACAGGGTCGAGGCGGTAAAATGTCCAATGAAAGTCCAGGCTCCCCGGAAAGTAATGATGTTACATTTCAAGTGGGAGCTACTCCTTCTGTCTAACAGATTGTACAGTCTGCAAATATTGGAGCTTATTTTATGTATTGTTAAAAACATGAACAAAATTGATAATTTGAATTTCCAAAGACAATGTCTTCTTTGTTAAACTTAAAAATGGTGGTTTGAAAGTTATGAAAAGCCAAATAATGTTAGGTCAGAAAGTGTTTTTGCTTTATTATGAGAAGGAAGAAAACTAGAAATAAGAAATTTTGAAGAAAAAAATGTGGTCTCTGTGAAACTTTGATGTTAGGTTTAATTAATATTATTCGATAACTTTTTTGACTGAACAAAAGGTATTTATTCAAGCCATTAACTTTCAAAGTCATCATTTGTTATATTTGTTGTTTTATGTGATAAAAGTATTTTTCTTGCACTCTGACTGAGATATAACATCCATTGTGCTATCAAGTTATAATTTACTGTTGTAATTATAATTATTCTGTTTTAATTTGAAGCAAATTTGGAACTCATTTCAGAAGTACCAATTTTCTCGTTTTCTCTTACTGTTACAGTATAATTTAATTCAATTGTTTGGGACCCGTCTTTTGTCAGAGGTTCACTCCAAGAGTTAAGTTGTCCACATAAGCATAAGCAGGACATATCATTGTGGCACAAACATTGTGGGCTGATCCGGTAAAATGCATCACATTATTTGAATTATTCATTTTTGCCAAGTTCTTCTGATATCACATTAGAGGCCTTTCAGAACAGAAGATTGGAGAATTTACTGATCCATTGAAAAAATAGCTGAGTATTATGAGGGATCTAGCAATTAAATCTTGGGGCCATGATTTAATCCGTTTAATGGTGCATGCAGAGGCGGGGAGACCATCAGCGAGTTAGTTGGCTCTTCTTTCTTGTATGGTCTGCCATATTTGATCCATGGATCAGTAGATCTTCTGTTCTGTTCATAGACTATAGTAGGTATAAACAGTTGTATCACTACTTATATATAATTAATTATGATTTTGGAGACATTTGAATCTTACATAGTGTGAAACAATGATAGTGTATTTGTTAAATGTGTTAAGATAACAAAACAATTGAAAAATACAAATTAGTTTTTGAATGAGTGAAAATGGTTTGAGGTAAGCCGATTTCCTGATTTCCTAACCTCACAGCTTTTTATTCCCATTTATTGTCTGTTATTTAAGTATATTGATATACTGTATATTCCAATGTTGAAAATCCATATAAGGGAACAAGATGTGATCTATGCATTCCAAATGAGATGATTTTATGCCAAATTTTCTATACTTTAAAAAATTGGAAAATAAATAATATCCATGCATGAGATTTTTTCAAGTCAAGCCAAGATTCCAGGGTTTTGTGTGCAAGTATATTGTTTTTAAAAAATGAGCATCTAGTCATAAATAATATTTGTGCGTATATACCCAGCTGTCTCAGTGAAACCTTTAAAAAGATTACAGCACATTACCTTATTATTCTACGTTTACCTTATTTGACAAAAATATCTAGGAGATATTAGTAATGGATATGGAGCACTTATATATCCTTAGATCAGATTGTGAAATTCATGTCAGAGGTAAAGGGGAGAATTGTTGGAGAAAAAAATACTTCACAAAAATTTTAGTAGCACTTTATATATTACTGTTTTCCAAGGGCAAACTTTGTCTTGACACAAAAAGTTGCCTTAATTTATCAGATGTTATTGTTAAGGTCTTGACATTATTTCTTAGTTTCCATATCGATTTCTGTCAATTGTGTTGCAAGCATATTATATAATATTAATATTGTCAGTTATGGCATTAATAAGTTTTTCTATTGAATCTTCAAGTTGACTGTGAATGCAGCCTTCCAGATAATGTTATCCTTGTAGAATGTCTTTACTTTATATTGTTGAGAGATTATTAAGAATAAGAAAATGGCCAGGGGCCATTATTTTTAAATTTTAGTTGATTTTAATTTAATTTTTTTTGTATTTAATATGATTTAGTTTTTCATCATGACTTTTTGTTTTGAAATCTCACTGCAATACTCAAGAGAGATAAAGATTATGTTAAGATGATTCACTTGTTTCAGTCCAAGAAATGGCCAAGTATAGGTTTACCATTGTTTGCAATTATTATCCAGAGCAGCATCTCCTCTGAATTTTGCCAGTTATATTATGAACTCGGAAATCCAATAGTGGTAACCAGTCTAAGTGAACAACATTTTCTTTTGCCAATTTTTATTTAGTATATTTATGATTTAGTTTTAAATGTGGTAACTAGTCTAAGTGAACATTTTCTTTTGCCAATTTTATTTAGTACATATATGATTTAGTTTTAAATGTTATGAGATGTCCTCAGTATGTTCAGTGCAATGATATGCTGCGTAACGGTTCAGTTAATTAATGGACCCCATTTACTGCAAGGGCTTTCCAATCCACAGAACAAAGTAAATCTCTGAAATGTACATAAAAGGAATAAAAATTTAAAAGGACCATTGTTAACAACATGTCTTTTGTTTTTATTCACATAATTCTATAAACAATACAGTTACAACAAGACCAGGATCATAGTGAAAACCAGTGCAATTTATTCCCAAGTTCTGATTCAGGCAAATTCTTGCAGAGCCTGGAGATTTTTTTTTTTTTTCGATTGGTGCGGCTCAAAGATAAAATAAGCTTGGCATTGTAATGGACAGTGCTTTTAAGTTCAATCAAATTAAAATTCTGGGGAATTGTATAGCCTTATGTAAAAACAAAAGCTGGTTTTGGGTAACTTAAGAGATTTTTAAAGAGAAGTTTGTTTGAACTGGCACCGCCTGTTCTCGATCATTTCAATTTGGCACAGTTATTACATAACTACAGATCTAATCTAGTTTCTGATACGGAATCAGTTTAACCAAAGATATTAGCAGACATAGTTATTAACTAAACCCTAAATCTCACTGTTCATACCCACTTAATTGAGTAAAATGTGACAACTATACTCTATGTGTGGACACCTTCTTGTTGTCTATTCCCACCCCTTTTTTTCTCTTAACATTGTTGAACTCCAATCTGAAACACAAGGCTATGGTGTGATCTTGGCTACATTTGTTTTACTTTTTCTTTCACTATGCATATAAAGCCCCCAGACAACTTTGCAAGGGTCACACAAAAAGACGATTACAAAAAATCTTAACACAAGCCAAATTCTGCTTCACGGTTTTAATTGAAAACTTAGGCCACTTCTCCACATTAACTTCTGTGCTTACACTAATATAAATAAAATTGGGCTATATATAATTAATTCAATCTGATTAGTCTTGTGCCAATTTGCCATTATTCAAGTAATTGACACAAAAAAGTAAAGACACCACTAGATTGAAGGATAATTAATTTCATGCTAAGCACTTAATTTCTTTCAAATTTCTTTCCAAAATCTCTGTGTACAGTTCTTAATTATTCATTCAATATTTCTCATCTTGATACTCCCAAAGGTCTTTTTCATAGCCTTCATGTACATGATCCAGGAGTACTTTACAGCGACTTTCACAATATCTGAAAATAAAGGGTAAATGATTCATAAAATTAGTTCTTGTTTGAACTTTGTTTTTTTTCATATAAGTTTATTTCTTATTTGAATTTTTTTGTGATACTGTATCTTGTGAAAGTGAATGACCCCCCCCCCCCCAAGCATAATTATACGTTAGGACTTTTTGGAGTATTGCTTAAGTATACCACTCAGTATGAAAGGCGCCTCTAAGGATAATGGTAAACACATACCTGGTTTTATCCTGCACTTTCTGTTTAACATCAACAATTATGTCTGACGTGATGTCTCTTTCTAGATATTCTGATAACTGTTCAGTTGCATTTTCAAGGTCTTTCTGATTGTCCTACATTAAAAAATTATATAACTATGAATACAGTTTCTTTCAACAGATTCAGAAGCAATGCTAACCTGCATTTTCCAGATTAGCCTTTATACTTTTATCATAGTAATAAAGTGCCCTTTTTACAGAATACTCTGTCTACAAAAATTCTAATAACATTGTCTTTTTGAAACCATTTGAAGTTTCAATGCCAGAAAAGTGACTGGTTTATCTTCAGAACTGTAACCTATCAACAATGTGATAAACCTGTGATCATCCTACCTCAAATATGATGGACTGGTTATTTCTTTTCAAGTAAAAGGCAAACACATAGGTGAACATAAGAGTCTGTCGGCAGAGGCACAGAATATCCACAGCTTTCTTCAGGAACTGGACTTCAATCCACGACATATTGTGCTGTTGCATTTCTTCCATTTTCTGTCGGACCATGCTGTATAGCTACAAGTAAAAGCACTTTCCCAATTACCTCCAGGTCCCATTTTGCATTTGCATGAATGCACGCGCGAACGCACACACACACACACACACACACACACACACAATGCAGGCTTCTGAGTAATGTGAAATGATGGAACTGCTGGTGTACAGAACAAAACAAGAAAATCATTATCCATGCACTATTTTAAGAAAGACATTTTAGCCCAAATATTCTCTTAAACAGAAGACGGTATATATTATGTTTTGTGGTAGTCAAATAAAAACGTGAATGCTACAACTAAATATGATACTGGGTGAAATTATGTCTTGTTTCTTTCTTTCTTTTACATAAGAAGCAAACTGCAAAGTATCATCTAATGGCAACATTATTTAATGATTGAGAAACAATTGGGCCATTAACTAAGTCAACTTACCTTGTGCTCAAATTTTAAACTTTGCATGTGATTCATGTAGCGATTGCAGTAAAAAAGATAACGTTGCAATGCAGATCGGGATTTCTGAAATAAAAAATGAAATTAACAGAAGAGCACCCACGAGAACATAAATAATTATAAAAAAAAAAACAGTTTAACTTGAACAAACAAATTCTGATAGCATTTTACTTAATGTAATACAGAGGAACATCATTTTGGACTCTAAAGAAATCTCTAACATTATTAAAAAAATAAAAAGAGAAAATTCTTATGAACAACTACCTCTTGAGAATCTCTAGCCTTCTTTGCCTCATCTTCATCAAAACGATTACAGTTGTACCTGTGAAATAATTTGATGCCACCAATTATAAAAAAAATCTTAATATGTGTTTAGATATACAAATATCTTAAAGAACTTCATAAAAGCAGTGAGCAACAATGATCAATAGTTAGCCTAATACTTAAAATGTTATACAAACCCAGTAGGTAACAACAGTGATAGCACTATTTTGCCATCTTAACACCAAGGATAGAGCATTTCTCAGTTTACAACGATATCCAGTGTGTTTTAAAATGATAGTATTAACAATATCTGAGTAAGCTCTGGTGTTACCAGGATGTTCCATGTGGTTCCCAGGGTCCTAGGCAAACCCAGCAGAAGTCTGCTTTACAGCTTTGGTTCTTACACACCATATGATTGCAGCCTCCATCTTTCTCTATAGTTACATGGCACTTTGGACATTCCTACAGGAAAAAATATTTAATAAATTTTACAGCATGAATATAACTAATTAACATGATGATATTGTGTAAGAAGTTATCATCCAATCTATCACTGATTTAATTGAAAAAAAAAATATTTTAGGAAACTAATGGTTAAAATAATTTCTTGTTAGAGTGATTTAAGAAAACTGTACCGTTTCCTCGTAGTTTTAATTCATATATTAGTAAATGGTGTTTGTAGATTTACAGCTAAACTGGCCTAGAGGGAAAAAAACCTGATTTCCAACCCAGCAGAGCACTAGCTTGACATTTTAGTCTACCAGTGCATGATGAACCTCACCTTTGTATTGGCAGCAATCCAGTTGGATGTTTCACTGTCATCATCACATTTCTTGATCCATCTTCTCAGCCACTTGCACTTTACTGGGTCGTGCCACGTCTCTCCACAGGAGAAGCTAAATAATACAATAAACACAGATAATCCTTCTAGTCATCACATGCAGAAAACAAAGTCAAAATATCAAGTCCCTTGTAAAAATGGCTTAAGTTATTTACAACTAAAGCCAATATTATGTAGTGGCTGACAAGACACCTTTATCCGGGAATGTCATTGAGACAACACATGTCACAAAAGCCCCAAGTTTCAGTGTTGTTTGAGGATCACTGTAATTTTTAGTGCATAACACAGCTGAAGGAATCTTTGACAGTTTATATGACGAAAAAAATGAGAGGTCTGTATGTAAACATAAACCAAAACCAAGTAGTTTTTTTTTTTTTGGGGGGGGGGGGGGGGTACGTGCACACAGCTGATAATATGGAAAGATGTCACAAATCGAAAGGAGTTAATTAACATGCAAAACCACTTACTTTCTAGGGGTACATATGTTTATTCAATTCCTTAAATCTGAATAGAATGACTCCATTCTGACTGAGTTATACTGTAAAATGATCTCATGCTGTCCACCAAGATCTGGGCAATCCAGACTTACCAGAAGGTATGACCACATTGGCAAGTGACTGGTCTTGCATCAGGATAGTTGACCTTGACCGCTCGGCCACAGTCCGGTGCTGGACACCATCTTAACTGTCGGTTACACTGGCGAAAAAAAAAGAGAATCTGATAGTACTCTACACTGACAAATTTTGAATTTACTGAAGGGAAATCGTACCATTAACTAATTTGAGACATTTATGTGATTAAAAATCTTTCAACTAACTAATGCAGTTTCTGTGTAATATGAATACAAAATAAAAGGCATCGCAGGAAAATAAACTGATGCAGCTTTCAAGAAATTAATTATGAGCTTACCTCAACAAAGCTGTTGGTAATGAGGTGTTGGTATTTTAATCTTACTTTGGAATCTTTGACTAATGACCTGTGAAAATCAAAGGGAAAAATCAGTGGTAATAATAATAATAATAATAATAATAATAATAAATCTATACAAACAAAACCTTACCCTAAAACTTAACATGCATAAGTAATTCTCAGATATGAAACTTATAAAGTTGTAAACAAAAGTTGCCATGACAGTTATTACGGCTAAAACAAATATTTTTTGTCTGAAGATCGATATATTTTTCAAAAATCAATTCAAATGTACCTTAAACTTCTAATATAACTTACATTACAGTGGCATCATCTACTAATATATCACATCCATGAGCAGCGCAAGATATTGTCTATAAGAAAGAAAAGATACTTTAAAATATGTTGAAGTGTGGACATTTTTCATATATATTTGGGAAGGTTATAACATAGTTTTGTTGAAAAAAATACAATGCAAAGAAAGTGTGTTGGTGTTTTGGACCCAATTCTCACCTGTCCCATGCCCTCATCTATGATCTTAGTGGTCAGATATTCTGTCCAGCAAGCAGTACAAAAACGATGTCCACACTCTAAGCCTGTCATCATCTGGAAAAAAAAATGCAGCATAATTACAATTGTAACAGCACATCCGATAATTGGAGCAGTGAAAATTCTTAAACTACTTAGATTGTTTGTTGTCATTTTTAATTCCATTGAAATAAAATTCATCAAAGCAATAGTTCATGGAGGTCTAGCATTAAAGTGTAAATTACTAGATGTGCTATCATCTCTATGAAAATATCAAAATCAGACTACATACATATATACAATTATATAACTTATATTTGATATTTTGTGAACTGTTTTGAGAACGTCACCAGGCAGTCTACTAACCCCCTGCGGATATGTCAGGGTGCAGATCTCACACTCTATATTCTCAGCAGACGCTGCAGCTGCCGCCGCTGATCTGGTATTTTTCTACGAAAATGTAAGCACAAAATTAATAGCATATGTATAAAGGATACATAAAGGTAACCACAGAAAAGCAAAAGACATACATGATACAATACAATACAATAAAAACAATGCTTATTTATTTAATACTTTGACTCAAGTTTGTATTATTATTAGTATTTTTTTCTTTTGCCAAACTGTTTCAAATCCCAACAAAACACCTGCAGATGTATAGCATGTACATATTTTATAAACCTTCTGACTGCCATTGTCACAACAATAAATGATCTCAATGTAGCTTGAATGTGTCATCACAGAGTGCAGCACAAACACTGTAAACATTCATTGTAAATTGATATTCATTCTCATTCTTACCCTGCTACTAGAGGAGGGTTTAAAAGAAGCAGACATTTTTCTGCCTGGACTAACAACATGTGCTTCCGAAAATAACTGATCCTGGTCTCCATCATAATATCTAAAATAAATGAGAAATAATACATGACCATATCGAAACAGTATACATGAAATACACATACACAGCCCTGTACTTCTTCCATTTTTATTTTACTTACTGAAAGGCTATTAATTATAAACACAACCTGCTGTTCTTGTATGTTCAATACAATAACTAAAAATCAAAATTGAGATTTTAACTAACCTTTCCATCAACTTTTCCTTGTCCCAACGAAAATGAGATAATAAAATTCTAGTTGTTGTGGCTGGTAGCTAAAATAGAATGTTTACACAAATTAAATAAAATATGAATATCCAAATTAATTTAATTTAATTATATTTTAATATATACCACAAGTAAGGTCCTATCAATCTAAATGTATATGAATTTGCATCTTTTGAAACACTACCATAAACTTATTTAATATGTTAAAAAGATACATCATTCTTATTAAACACTTTCTCTACAAAAATCTTGAATCATGCTGAACATGATGATGGCACTCTCTTTAAAATGTAGTGCATTATACACCTGTTACTTCCATTTTAACACAAACAGTCTGTATATTTTTAACTTTGCTTCATCGTTTCACTTAAAAACCTTGCAAGACAATCTCTACATTAAAATCTGACAAAAAGAATACTAGCACAGAGCAGATTGTAAATACATTTGGGTAAGTTATTATTTAAGTACTTTAATGTCTGCTACCTTTCAGTTTCAGTGTCAATGCTTGGTTAGTGATGCAAGTTTCTATTTTTGGCATGTATTTTGTAGGTCATATACCAAGTTTATGGTAACTTGTTTTGGCCATTTAAGTCATCAATAACATAACTACGAATATCATAATACCTGCACAACAGTGTTGACTTCTTTAATACAGTCTACCATGTGCTGTACAATTAACTCAGGACTGAGCACTTCGTATGAAAAATCGTCAATGGTTGTTTCCTGAGATGCAGAACCTTGCTCTGATTCAATGCCCATATCAACAAAATCATCATCCTCATTGTCGGAACTTCCATGGTCTGATTCTTCATCGTACAGCATATCTTCTTCTGAATCCATTTTGGAGTTAGTATGTCACAGAAAACAGAAGAATTCCACAATTTTTAAGTTTCTCTTCTTCCTTCAGAAACTTCTGTCTATCTTGCCTCGATTTCATCTTCGGGTAACTTCCGAAAGTGACGTAGTTGCCTGGAGAGTCATTCTAGATGGAGAACCTCCAATCCCGACGTGATTCAAATCAATGCACGGTCAAATGACACTAAAAAATAAACGAGGAGTCCCTTTGATTTTCAATTAAATCGAGAAATCAGTTAGAATTACAATAAAATATTTTTACGAAGATGACGTCACAATAATTATTTTTAAACCTTCATTCATAAAAGAATGAGTAGATGTCGCTCTACTCGCCCAGAAAAGCCACCCTAAAATTCTGAAAATTGTTCGAATGATCAACTTTATTTATAACGAACTTAGTCATGAAAATATTACAAAAAATGTCAGAATTTATTAAACTGTTTTAAGAAGCGAACCGTCTCTAAAAAGACTAAACATCTTTTCTAGCATTCAACGTAAAAAAAAGAGAGAAAGAAGTCTTATTTCCCGGATTTCTAAAGTAGCCTTACTGCAGTTTGTACAGTATATGAGCATGTGTATGCGCTCATAGACAAATATTTTATAATCACCGATTTTTTAACAAAATATAATTCACTTATTTTAATATATCTTAATTTTATTATTATTATTATTTCTTTTATCTTGTGCATGTAGCTAAGGGACACAAGATCTAGGATGGGGCCGTTGTTGGGAAAGATGTAAAAAGGCACTAGTATAACAACAAGACGTAAATCTAAAGGAGGTGGAGCTACAAGTGGTGGGGTGCCTTTGCAGTAGACCTTTTGGCTCTATTCCCAGAGCTTTTAGATCGATCTATCCCCGCGGGGAGTCTCGCTAGATTACTGTCATATAATACGGCTTAAATGTCCGTCCCGCCTACTACAAGCTGTAAGGGGGTAATTAACTATGGTGCCCGCTCGGCTGACTGCAATTTAGCGTGAACCCCCAGGGAGTTAGGTCGATCTAAAGTAGATCGACCTAATCTCTGGAAATGGGGTCTTTAAGGCATAATCAGATAACAGTTTAATATAACATGGAATTTAGTGCTGACCAAAAAACAATTTCAGATTAACATTAAGTAATCGATTTTTTGTCCATAGCTTTGATAAATCAAAACATAATCCATTACTTTATCTCTATTGAAATTTACTTTAGAAGTTTTAAACAAGTTTTAAACAATCAATCAAATTTTTAAGCACGACACAAATTTTTGTTTAATAAGTTGCTTAATAAGTTAATCTCAAAACTCATTTTATTTCGATATGATATGATTTTAATTATCTCAACAGAGTTTTTCGTCTGGCCGAGGATGAAAAGAAAATATATAGGCCTATAACATGAACTTACAGCGAGAAATAAGGCATTTCGAAAAATCTTACCGTGATTAGTTTGCGAACGATGTAGGCATATTATTTATTCCGGTCTGTGCTCGATCTTTTGTGTTTGACGGTGTGTGGGTGCATATGCTTGTGCATGAAGTATGCTATGCATGTATGCGTATGTGTCTACTGGGGCATTGTGTTTCGATAGGTATATGTGGGAAAAAGTTAAGGTGTCCTATGAACCAGTTCACCAAATCTGCTTGGCAATTTAAGCACGATGTGCCCAGAAAAACCTTTGGGCTGAACTACAAGCTTAAGGAAAGAAACTAAAAAGAAGGATTCTACTTAACACACGTAGCACAGTCTGGGAACTAGTAGAACAGGATGAACAAGAGACACGGTTGCTCATTCCTTTGATTAGTTTAGTCTAGGTTAAAACAACCGACTTTTCGACCTATCCACATGTTGAAATCGTAAGTAAAAAGGTGAAGCTTGATCATTTCTTTATTATTATTATTATTATTATTATTATTATTATTATTATTATTATTATTATTATTATTATTATTATCAATGTGATTCATTTTTACCTAAGGGACTCGATGATTTAGTTACATACGCAGTATAGGAACCAAAAATAGGACCCATAGGATATTGAAAATATCTAATTATATTTCAATTATATACCAATACATCATTTCATGGTACTAAATTTTATGTCACCAGTTTCATTTGCATTTGACCTAGTGTGTTTATCGAACAGGGCATCTGGAAAAAAAAACACAGTTGAATATGGCTAGCGCTGGTCAAACGCTTTGGCCCCTACTAGTAAGAGTTCGCAATTTCGCATTAATGATTCCTTGAAGCCAAGTTCAGTAATGTCAAAATTATAGCCCTGTCTTCCATATAAAAACGCTTAAAGCTAAGGAATATGTATTAATTAGTCTTGATCTCAGTGCTGAAAATTGCCACTCTTAACCAGTTAACATTCTACGCCCTCACTAATCACATTGAACCGGCTTACGGGAGGACATCCAAACAAACTTTTCCAGTTTTTTCAGACGGGCAAAAATAGCTTTGGGAGTTGCGTCTGATCAGTTTTCACACTCTTCTTTTGTTGTTTTTATCCTTTAGAGGTGGGAAGCAGATAGCTGCCTATCAGAACAATGATGGAGCATGCATTTCACTGGCCATCAGCCTTTATGGATTTACTCTGGACTCGTTAACTCTAGGTAAGCAAAAACTAAAGTTATATACATACATTCTGATAAAGGGAAATGACGTAAACATGTTGGGCAATATCAGTCTTGATGAAATGCTGAAATAATGACACAATCAAAGGTCAAATTCGCGAAGAGTATGAACGGTATGTTTGGCACTGTGCGTTCGCACACTCGCTACTATTGTACGGGTGTTTTTGTGTCACACCTATACCGTTCTTTTTTGTTTTTTCACACCGTTCGTAAGCATAAAGATTGTTTACGGCCTGCCTCGAGGAATTAGTGCACTCGTTAAATAGATATAGGCTATGTAAGGTTAACATTTCACGCCCAGCATACGGCACTGTAAATTTCCCTGTCCATCACTGTCGATGAAAGCTGTTTTATATCATTCTTTAAGTATGCTACAAAGTGCATGTCTCTCGTTAAAGTGCACGTTAAACATGCAAACTCGCTTTAAGCAAATTTCCATGCACTCGTTGAATAAATAAGTAATTTGTAATGTTAGGTTAGATACCAAGTATTCACGTTTTTCTTGTGCACAGACCTTGACAAAATTGATTATTGTACTCGTAAACTCGGTCGTACCGCATCTCGTTTTCAAGTTCACATTTTAATATTAAAATATCATAATGAAATAAACTACCACGTGGCATCCCCTGTCAGATGTTTTATTTAGACGAGCCCATTCACTTCTTAAAGTGAATTCATCAGTAAACACACACTTCTTTTTATTGCTGCCGTGTCAGACTACGTTGTAACAGGCAATCTGATAGGAATAAATGGACTCTACAGAAAGGGTGGCCTCGCGAACAAAGTTTTACCTTTGTATATAAATCTTATTTCAGTCAAATTGTTTTTTGTGTATTTTTAAGCAATATTTGCTACTATTAGCAGAGCCTTTTCTTGGAATTTCTTAGCACGACGTAGAAAGTCTACATGCAGCTGCTTTTCGAGGATCGACCCTTTACATCTTCATTATTTTCTCAAAAAAAAAAAAAAAAAAAAAAAAAATCTAAGCAGTTCTGTTTTTTACCTGTTGTCAGAGAGGCTAAACATACCGTCAGGTTAATCGAAATGTACGGAAGGGGATGGGGTACATGCGAAGAGTGTTGTACCTCAATTTTGACATGTCATAAAACACGCACAGGCAAATTTGCTCCACTTGCACATAAACGTAGTTATGGGTTAGTGGTGTACGTTGGGCATAGGTAAAATTCCTGTGCGATGTATTGTTTTGCATTTTGTGATAAGAAATAAGGAATATGCAGATCAGCCAATCAATAGCAATCACTGAAAAAAACGGAGATTATTTTCGTCTTGTAGAGGTACGAACACAGACTAAAAGAGGTTTTCATTAGAAGCGTGCTCATGTCAAAATCTCAGCGACAGCGTATCTATCATTAAGAACAGAAGAACTTAGAAGCCTCGAGAAAGGAGGTCGACATATTCCGCGTCGGGATCAGAGACTGCTCAACTTTAGTTCTCAGATTGATGGCATCCTTTGACATTTTGCCTTGATAACCCATCACGGAGTGCTGCTAAGAAACGGAGATTACACGTGATTAACAAAAATCAGTCAGTGCAAAAGAATTTGGATTGTTGTCCGCCGGCAGGCGCATGTGCAATCGGCAAGCTTGCGGCGCTGTTTTTCTTAGAGATATGTAATCCGCGGGTTGTTATCTAAGCTTTAAATTGAGAAAGCTCATCTTTTCGAGAGGCAGAACGATTTCACCAGCGTCTAAAGAACTGTGTAGAGTGTTTAGGAAGTGGCTGCGAAGGAAATACAATGGTAAGGAGACTGGGCCAATCGATCATGGTTTCTATGGATCTATTGTCGGTGGTAAAATATACTCAGCGTCCCACTGGGCAGAGAAAGTGGCATAGTGATGATAATTTCAGGTGCAAGGCAGTGGTAAATTTCCACCGACTGTCTTCCGTTTCTCATGAAAACGTATTACATCCGTATTAGGCTGCATATCTACATATAAAAGTGTATTTTTTTCTCTAGAGATACGACACGGCGCGTACGCATATGTAGGTGCAAACCTCTCCGCCCTTCTCAGGACAGCAACAGCTGTCTTTCCCTAATCACGTTAAATTCCATTCTTTTCGACAAAAGAACGACAGGTGGATCCAGATAATACATGCATATTTTGCTTTTCTAGGCAGAGAACCATGGAGGAAAATCACAAGCAAAGCGACCGACAGGTTAGTGATTTTTATAAAATAGCATGAAAAAAACGAAAGAAGAAAGTATTGTTACATTTTTGTTCTTATTATCTTTTGCAACCTGGGTAGATTTGATTTTTTTTACGTAAAAATGCATTAACGAAAGGTATTTGATACACATAATTTTTTGTTTATGTTAACATGTAGTTTCAGCACTGTGACATGTATTCTCAGTAACTGAGTGTCAAAGTATGTCAGTTTTGACATGTCGTGAAGTGTCTCTCATGTTGCACAAGATTAAGATTAGAATATGGATTTGACTGTCATAAGACGCATATGCTGTATCTACAATGTACAATTACGAAGAGAGGGCAGAGAGAGAACATGTGGTTTTATGAGTTCTAGAATAGATGACAGAAATGCAAATTTGTTGAATGAGGCAATGCGTTATTCTAGGCACTTCCAAATAAGGTAAGCCCAAATTAGGCAAGCGCACATGGTGTGCGCAGATTACGCTATCTCCTCTCTTTTTGCCACAGGACTATTAAATTGCTCCTAACACTGTGGAAGCTGATTAGATAGTAACAACTTGCCCTTTGAATTAAAAGACGAACCTTTCCGAGTGCGGGTTGCCTTTTTTTCTGCTTGTAAAAATACTTCGAAGACATCACCTTTATTTCCTTCCGTCTCTTTGAACAGAATGACGGTGAGCTCAGTAGACAAGAGTTTACGTATTTCCTGGCGGTGATATATTGCATAGGATGTAGCTCGCTTCCATAACGTAAATTCAGTATTTCGAAAATGATCTTATTCAGTGCTCTTGCAGTAGCAAACTGAAGTGGAAACGGGCTTATATAATTTTGTTTTAGATTTACTACTTTCTGTGCTACTTGGTAGACCGAAAAAAATATTTACTTTAAAACTCATTTCCTTAACCCTTTACTCCATGTAAAAATCATTTCTTGTTGTGCTAATTTAATTTGATTCCATTTCTCATTCTTTCTTACCTTAATTTCACTATCACTGGCCAAACATTTCATATAATGAAAAGCTATTGTACCGAAACATTCCAAAAATTGTTAAAATGAAAAAGTATTGCTCGCACTGTCAACGTTTTACCACGTTTTTTGTGTTGGTGAAGATCAGCGAGCCAAGGCAACTTATCACTTTCACTACTGAAACGTACATTTGGTACTCTTAGGCTTTCTCAATTTTGGTTTTATCACCTGAAACTTTCAAACTAGGCACTTGGTGGAAACTTACACTGGGATGATTGAAATTTAAATATGTCTGCTTATCTCTCTTGTTGTGCTTAAATCTCATTTTGTGTGAGTATGCCATCTTAAACGTATGTAACCGCCCTAACTCCCCACAGTGTTTTTTTTTTCTGGTTTTGGTAGGGCCCCTAATATCATTGATCACACGGGCTGTGGGGTCGATTACCCTCTGTGGAGTTTGAGGTTTCGTACACTCATACATAAGCACAGAGACAGCGAATTAAATGTCAGAAAGTTTAATAAGTTGGATGGTAATTATATGATAAAGATAATTATGAGTGTGTATTTTTTATTTGCTTTCTAGAGATAGCGCCAGAGAGTGGCAGGGTAACGGGTGGTAAAACATCAAAGAAACTTCCCCTCACGTCCAGCAGTGAGAAGGTTTCAACTTCTGGCAAGAAAACTCCTAGTAGCGATAAACACCCTCCAACCTCAGGGCCTGGACGGCGGACACCCGCTACCACCCCAAGTGGTGATAAAGGAATACCGGGGAGTGGCAAAAAGACCCCCAGCGCGGACAAACCCCCTTCGGCGAGAAAAACACCGGCTTCCACCCCAACGGAAAAGAAAGCGCCTCTTGGCGGACGACGAACCCCAGCTACGACCCCTAGTGGGGAATCTCCAACCAAAAAAGCTACCGTGCGAAAGGCGGGGTCCATCGAGGCACTTCACTCGGGGAAAAGAGCAGGGTCTATTGAGGGTATAAATCACCAGGCAGCAAAAAAATTAGGTTCTACCGAAGCGATCCATAAAAATATGGGTACATGTGCTAGTACTAAAGCTGCAGGAGGTTCTCCGCGGATAACCCCCGCTAATAGTCTTAACGCACTGGCTCCCCAGAAAGCGCCGCCGAAAGAAAAACCAGCTGCAGAAGAAAAAGAAGTTTTGAAAGAGGTTTTAACAACCGAAGAGCAAGACAAGTTAGAAATGCAAGCCGAAGGGATTTCTTTATCTTCGGAAAGTGTGCCTTCTGATCGTGAAGAGGAGTTGGAAAAGCTAGAGATCATAGAAGATTCGGACAGAATTCCTGATTATTCCGAAACAGAACAATCTGGCGTGTCCTCTGCAATAAATAACAACACCTGTGAAACAAACATTCCAGCTGTTGAATCGACAAATAGTGAAAGTGATAAAAGAGATGTAGAAATAGTACCTGAAAATGTATCCGAGAAAGAGACAGAACAAATCCCCATCCCCATTGAAAAACAAGAAAACATCGGTTCTGCAGCACCTGTTTCAACTGCAGATGAAAACATTCATTTAGAGACTCAAAATGACATTAAAGAGGAACAAAAAGACAACGATTTTAAAGAGGTCCCATTGGACACTGAATCCGAAGAGACCGTTTCTCAATCATCTGATAAGCAACAAGTGACTGAAGTTACAGAAGTAAGTCGCACAACAGATACAGAGGCAGAGAAAGTAGTTACAGAAGAAAAGCTAACGAACGATGAGCAGGACAGCGGACAGACAAAAGACGAAACTACGGAAGATGAAACCAAAGTAGGAGAGCCAGCAAAACAGCCTGGCAATTTCACTGATGCGACTGAAACAAGTGCCGATGATAAAATAAATGTGCAGACGGATGATTCGGGAAACAGTAGTGAAAACAGATCCAAGGTCGCAGAAGAAGAATTAATACGGTCTTTGAAACAATTAGAAGATTTGACAGTTCAAGCAGCAACAATGGCAGCGGCACTAGGACAAAAGGTCGAGGACCAGGATGAAGGAACTCCGAAATCAAGTTCTACAGAAAACACTAATCTCGAATTGGGGTCTGAGTATGAACAACCAAACAAAATGGAAAACGCCAACCTGGTAACAGAGGCAGAAATCCAGCTACCAAACGAAATGGAAGCGTTAAATGAAGTGGAGACGAGTGTCGCTGGTGCTGCGCCAGCGGATGCATTCGTTGCAACAGATGAGCCGGCTTCGACTCCAGCTGTTGAGAAAAACCAAGAAGAACGCAATGTACCAGATGATGAACATACTAAGATGAATATTGATTCAACAGAGGTGGCGCAGCAGGTGGACCCTACGCCAGGTGAAGTTAAACAAAACGAGCACTCTGATTCCGTGGTTACACCACAGAAACAGACTACCGAAATTCAGGCCCCTCAGCTAGTAAGACAAGAAGCGGTCGATTCCGATTCTACGCCAGCAAGTCCAGGACCGACAACAAAAGAAATCCCAGCAACCTCTGAAATAATAAGAAACCGGTTAGTAGACCTCAATGAGCATTCCGAAGCCGCGATTTTAGAAACAAATATGGAGATCACATCTAATGGTGAGCAAGAGGCGAAGCAAAGTAAACCAGAAGGGCAGATTGCAACAGACGGAGAACACTTACCCAGTTCAGTTGAAGATGATAGCGCTGAAGGGAAAGAAAGTATTATTACCGAGTCTTCCGAAACTATAGATGGAAAGAGTGCCCCGGTGACGATATCGGAAGAAGACAAGAAGGTAGCAGCAGATACCACAGATGACGTAGCAGTTCCTCAGGTTCCTGTAGAAGAGAAGGTAGAACAGGAAGCTACCCTTACAGACGAGCCCGCGGAAATTCAAACCGGTACGACTGAGCCAGCCAGTATTGCCCCATCTGAAGCGATCACTGAGAATACTTTAGAACCAAAAGCTACAGAGCCTGAAAATGAAGTCAAACCAGTTAGAAGCGACAATGAGGATATTAAATATTCTGAAGTTGAAATCGCTATTCCTGTTAACGGCGTCAGCACGTCGATTCATTCAGAAGAAAAAACTAAAGATGGAGCATCGTCCAAGCAAGCTGAAATGCCAGTTATCATGGTGGAGGACACCATTGCCAAGTGTGAAGCAACACCTATAGAGTGCGCTGTGCCAGCAGAGGACCACGACAACGAAGCGCCAATTTCCCCTCTACAGATATACAACCGGCTTCTAGCCGTTCAGAGAGAAATGTCGACGATGCAAATTCAATTAACAAAACTGCAAAGTGCTATGCGCAATAGTTCACATGCACTAATGGACGTTATCGAATTAACAGAAAAGCAGCTTGGCATAAACTGAAAGCATTTGAAAAACTGAATGTTTGCCCTAAAATGGTCAGTTTTTAACTGCTGAGCTTGGGTTTGGACATTCCTGTACATGTACGTGTATGGATTTTGCTTCCTCGTTTTTTACGTATACTTAATTAACCTCACCATAGTACAGTGTAGAAGTTGAATCATTGCCTCAAGTTTCCATAACAATCTTTAGCCAAAGAGTAAAGCGGGTCGACCAAGCATATAAATGTAGGGAAAGGGTAATTTAGATGTAGGTGTATTACATAACTTTATATGTTATGTGACCCTTGCCAACCGACAAAAAAGGTGACACGTTTTTTTTAGTACCTGATGTCCGTTAATAACAGCTAAGGCGGTAAAATTCCGTTCTAGGTAAAATCCTTCCAGGTGTTGCTTTTGTATTTCTTCCATTCATGTATGAGAGACAGAACAGTATTTTCAGAAATTTTTGATTAATTTCTGACACAGTATCTGTTTACGTAATGTGTTATGTTAGCATCGCATCTGGAGGCGCTCTTAGTCATCAGATCCTTTTTAGAGAACCAAAGCACAGAAACATATTTCTCCTGAAACCATGCCAATTTTTTCTCAAGACATGGAAGGTCTAATCTCTTTGGATAAAAACAGCATTAATTTTATCTCAAGTTTATTCGCCACCATGTAGTACAGTTAGCCGCAAATATCAAATGTAGGTTGTAGATGTACATGTATCTGTCTGCTGCATTTTCGTGATTCCCACCAACGATCTCTGTCATTATCCTTTAACTGATTATTATCTATTTGGATAAATTCTTTTCACTGTTTTCCTTTTTACGCTAACATCTACATGTATGCTAACTAAGCGATTTTGGTATTTGTGTAAACCGTTTTTTTTTTTTTTTTTTTTTTTTTTTTTTTTTTTTTTTGTGAATATTAGTACTTGTTAACAAAAAGGATAAGAAATTCCTAAAGAAATTATTGCAAAACAATATTATGCACCTTCTCAGTAAAATATAGGAACATCTTGTTTTTATATTTAAAAACGTAATGGTTATTTTATGATTAAAAACGTAATGATTATTGACAAGGTCCAAAAGGACAGTATCGGTAGAAATATGTGTTTCTACAGTAGCGAAGACTGCGTGGATAAAGTAGGTTTGTATTTGAAAACTTTCTAAGTATTCCAAAGGATGTGACAGTAGACGTGTTATACGTATTCCCTAAAACCTTGCCATGGATAGCACACATGTAACACATGAATCATATATTAAACAGGTGCACGTTTTCAGAACTACAGTATTCCAACTTGTAGTCATTACGTATATAAAAGTTCTTTAAACTTTATATAATAGTCAAGTATTGTTATTGTATGATGAGTTGTTTCCCAGTCATGTATACATTTAATATCCCTAAAAAAAATTGAGCCTTCAATAAATAATTAAAATAAAGAGAGAGAGAGGTTCGACGTTTTAATAACTGAGCACAAGTTAAGATATCAGAAGTAGATAATAAAGACTATTATTTGTCATCTATTATCAGATATTTGTAATTCTTCATAAAAACAAGTCAATGATATACCATGCCGTGTAGAAAAAAATTAAATCTTAAATTATATGCTTTATTACTTTACAACTTTTAGGGCCATGTCGGTCATAATTAATCAAACTTGGAACGATTATATGTGAAGTCTGTCATTCGAAGTGAGGGTAAACGTACACCCCGCCGTATGTCAGATAACAATTTTGATGGTATACCAAATGGACGAAACAATGATTTGTTTAATAGGGATGTCTTATGTGACAAACAAATATGCGTGCACTGAAAAATTATTATCGTGGAATCCCACTGGGAATTCATGTTACAAATTTAACGAGCATTTTACGCCCGCAGCGTCGTACCAACAATATAAAGGGTTCGTTCATCGACGATTTGATATCGTAAACAAACACAAAGGCATGCACATTTCCATTTACACTGGAGAGATGAAGGTTATTGTACGGAATAATAGGTTGAATAATTTAAATATAAACATTGATTCTTTTAAGTAGGCAGCAGATCTAGAGAGATCTTGAATAAGCTGCATCTAGATATTTACACATACGGTTGTTTTGCTCTAATACCTGCTTAAATTTTTTCACGTAAAATGAAAAAGAAAAAAAAAAAAAAAAAAAAAAAACAAACAAACAAACATTTGAGTATCAAGTGAAAAAGACGAGTCCACGTGGATTGAATGAAAACTGACAAATTGACTGTAGGTCCTGAAATATGTGATTGTGACAGTGAAGATATGTTCAGGCGTCTAGGATAGGACTTTGTGAGACTCAGCTACTAGAATATATAAAGCACGATAACTCTTATGTTTAATTTTACCGAAAGTTGCGTATTTTAGGCACGTCATAGTAAACCATTAAAATGGTAATTATCTGTAAGGTAATTCCTCTGATAAACGCTAATGGCATGACATAGATATTCTTTTAACAACAGTAGGCGGTGTACAGTAACAGATTTTAATTATTTATCCACGTGTATTGGACTCTTGTTGGTTTTTATTGCGCTGAACGTTACAGATGCCATTTCCGAGTAAAATGCCTAATTGCAAAACACACAGGACTATAATATAGGACTGCGTTGAAAACTCAAGGGAACATTAAACCCGATGAGTGATATTAAAAAATTATAAATATCTAGGCCTACAAAATTTTATTCAGTATATGTCTAACTTCTTTCGAATCTGATGAATAAAAAGCGAGCTTAGGGAACGCATACATCAAGTGTTAAAATATATTATCAGATGTTATCAGACATTCTCTAAAGCGATACATGCACGGATGACTCAAGATGTAATGCCTCTAAAATTGTGTACCAACGTTTTTCCCCTTTTATTGGCGTTATATGTTATTTTGTCCATCATTTTGTTTGGCTGGAAAGCAAAAATGCACTAAGAGACTTGGCATTTTGGCAATATGCTACATGCACAAAGACATGTATATGATTTAGGAGTCGTGCATGCCCTGTGGGAGATCTTATGCAATGTAATACGTTATGACTCTGATTTACATTACCATACATTTAAAATATGAGTCATCAATGATGTCGAACAGCACAGCTTAAGTGTATCATTCCTGAGGTCGAGAAAAAAGGCTGAAAAGGCAGAATTATTACCGTAGCCCCATCGGGCAGGTGATGGCGCGCAGCCGCAGTGTGAACATCGCGAAGGTGAAAAAATCAGTCGTCTGCAAAGTAGGAACGCGCCCCTCAGTTCACCGTCTCCACTGCCGCCCCAGCGTAGTGGATGGTGAGTAGAAAGTGAGTCACAGCATTATAATATACACGGTGAAACTAAACGTATCGATTTTTTTCTGAAAAGTATCTATCCTGCACAGAGCAGAATTGGAAATTACAGACACATTTATATTCCTGTTTATTTGCATCGAGGTTTTCGTCCTATGCTGCTAACATGGATTAAAACTCCGTCTGTGTCGGAGTAGATTTCGCGAGGTCAGGATTTTATTACTCTAACAGTTGTTTATTTTCTACAGGCGTCATCTTCTGGAGAGATAGAAGACATAGACAACAAAGCAATGCTGGACGGTTAGTATTCTGATGTTTTTTATAATTCCCTCTGGCGTTTCATGTTATTAACGTGGATCGACTCTGTATATCACATTGCAGTTTGCTATTTTTAGCTTCTTCGTAACTGGCATATAGTATATCTTCCTGAATTGTCTGAATAATTGTTCTGATATTAATGTGAGTAGAAATTAAGATATGATTGTCATGCTCGGTGTTTTAATGGTTGCATGTACATGGTCATTTGCTTTCACGAAGTGCACTCGACGCTGTCAGTGGACTGTGCTAGATCGTACCCCTTTGACCGCAACTTATAGAGATGCCAGCGCTATGACAGCAATTAGTCGGGGGTGAACGCGGCGTTTGCTTGGTTTTAACGAGCGTCTCTGTACAGGCAGTTCCTTAGGGAAAGTCAGCGGAGGGAGTTTTATTTATATAAAGCATAGTTATGGCGGGCATAATTTCTCCGCCGCTGTCAGGTGTAGGGTTGAAAATACACACAGCTGTGGTGGATATAGGTACTCTCGATAATCACCATCTGTCGGACATATTGCACAGGCCGGCCTCCTAACAATCAATAGGTCCAGGAAATATGTTTCCAAGAACTGGGCCAGCCTTTGATCTTGGGCCTTATATTAGTATGCTGTTGGTATTATCGTAGCTGCAATCTTGATGCGTCAAAGTATGTTTTCTGGCGGTAGATTTATATGGGCTGTGATTTGCTGTAGCACTAGAGAAAATTATGTAATCTGAAATGTATTTTCCCAGAAGTGGGAAAGTCTTTGATCGTTGAATATTTATTGGATAGATAAGATAGATAAATGCCGATAATTATTAGAAAAATTCTAGATATAGGACGAGTTCAGGAACTTGTCCTATCAGCATCCTGGGTATGCAGCCAAAATCCAAAAGGTCTCTCTAAATAAGTTTACCCATTAGTGGCGCAAGTTCGGATCTCTGCTTTTAAATGGGGAAACAGATAAAAAAATAATAAGACAGAACATTACCAAGTCTAGTAAAATGCCAGACCTAGATTAATTTTGGGTAAACAGACCGTTATCCTGTCACCTTTTTGACGAATTTCTGGGTCCCCAGCTGGAAACCCAGCTCTGCGAAGGTACAGGTATTCTGGGAAAAATAATTTCCAGTTATTACGAACGGATAGGTTCCAAAATAGCACTGATGCTTTTCTAGGAGAAAGATTATTTGTATGTATTTAATTTGCACAGTGTTTGAAATAACCGTGGGCCCGTGAAAATTCAGGAAGTAGGGGAAAGAGATGTGAAAGGCAGTCACTCCAATATTTATCATTCAGTCAAAATCCTGGAATCACAACCGAACAAGGGAAAAGGTATGAATACTGCATGAATGAATCACTATATTCTGAGAAATCTTTAAAATAACGTTTTTATAGCCAGCGGAGGGGTTAAGTTGAACTCATGGGACTGCTAGAACGATATCAATACAGCCAATACATTGGCGTAGGAAGGGTTGGGAGGTGGATGGACATTCCTTGTTTGCTATTGAATTCAAATATATTTTAGCAAATGTTTTCGAAATTCTACGACAGCCATATTCTTATGCATGGAGAGGCTAGGAAGATTATTAAATACCGTTCTGTCAAACTTGAGTGAGAGCAAGCCAAGAACACATGCCCTGACATATGCTGACTGCCCTTACTTGCCAACTTTTCACTCTCGGCATGTTTTGATTCGGAGTATCCATAACAACATTTCCTGGATTTATTATAAGGGACGTTTTAGGACGAAACAGCCTCCATCTAAAAGGGCAAAAGTTGTGGCAAATAAGAAAAATTGTGTTACATCAAGTTGTAAACAGGTCTCGAATCGAAAATACCATGCCCCAAATCAAGTTGAAATTTTACGATCGTTTTCTCTGTTGGTGGCATCAGATCGATTCGTTGGGCGATGTATTTACCAGCTTTCCAACTGCAATCTGGTATTGGTCGATGCTGCCTGACAGTACCGAAGCCTATGAAAATAGTGGCGTAAATCAATGTAAAAAAAGAGGTTGATTTAATTAAAAGCCCATCTGGTCGTTGTATCCCACCAATGCTCATAAAAAACGGGAAGTCTTTTTGCTCTATTTTACAAACTCAGGGTCATATTTTATCTTTACCAATCCCGATGTTTTGAATTAGACAAAGCACGTTGCATTATGTGTATCTTACAATATAAAGGAAGAGATAACTAATAAGATCCTAGGACCAAATAAAAGGAACTGTGGTCTTAAAAACGCATATTTGCAGGGTATTAATTTTGATTTTGTAATACAACTTGTAGTGATGGCGAACAAGCACAAGCACTGCAAAACTTAACAACTTGTCAAAGCCGCTGAAAATTCGATTAATTGCAATTTTGCGCAAAGCCCCGCATATTAATTAAAAACTGAAAAGAAATTCCTTATACATGCTAACACATTAGTACACGTAATTTTCCTCTTACGTCATGTCAGAGAGCATCTCCCATGTCTTGGCCTCTGGCCCCTGATCTTTGTTAAATTAAGTGAGCTCCTCCCTCCCTCGTGACTGGTTGTTATTGGGTAACCTTGTATAGGGCTGAGTAATGCCGGTGTCGTGCCTTGGGGTTAACCTAGCACCTATAGTCACCAGTATGTGATGCATCACGCTACGGTTGTGTCATCTGATGTACAATGCTGACTTTAACTATTAGTTACTGCTCTCGATTTAAAATAAAATAAATAAATAAAAAGTGAAAATAAGCTGGGATGCTAGACAGGGGACTTCCCCCCCAACCCTCCTCCTCCCATAAAAGCACAAAGCAATTATTCCTTCACAGTCTGCTCCATATTACAGCAAAATCGTCTTCCTTTCCTATTTAGTATTTGATAATCGAAGCAAATTGAAATTGTCCATCCTTATTCCGCTATCCTCTTAGCAAGATCCAGTGTTTAACCTATCTCTTTCCAAAAAATAGGTGCGAAATTCTAGTCGCGTTTGTGCGTCGAAAAAAGATCTGTAGGATGGTCAATCCAATTACTGCGGTTCCCTTGGACTTTCAATTTCATGAGTATACCTTTGCGTACTGATAGGTAAACACGAACGGTCCATAGGAGCCCCAGCTCTGCCAGAGTGCATGGTTAATAATAAACCTGGGTGAAAGCATAATTCGGAATTTTGCGAGATAGCTTGACGTAGTTTGGGCTAGTTTATATCTTCGGTGTATTTATTATGGCTCGTTTATAAGCCACACCTGGACATTGGTGTTGATGTTGTTGAACGCGGACGTGTACATATTTGCCAGCCAAATGTCTGGACGAGAGAGAGAACGTAAGTGTGTAAATACCCTGTTTGTTGAATATCTCAGGCAGAGTTAAAACAAAAAAGTATTGGTACTGACTTTTGTTTGGAGTTAACGTATCCAAAACGTTGTAAACGATGTAACAGAGTCGGGGCGATCGCCTGATTTTGGTGTAGTATTTTTGGTTTATCGCTATCTGATAGTTATGAACAATTGATATGTTTTAAAATAGATGGAAGATAAGAGATTGTTTAGGGTTATTCTATAGATAGCTTTACATTTATTGATAGTTGTTTTCAATTTATCACGTACGTCGATTTAACATATGTAGCCGTCTTTTTTATTTGAAATAAATAGTTTATCGTACTATGACATACGAAATCACTTTCATGTCAGTCTTAATATTACAAATACCATTCAGATATTGCGCGAATTGGCAAAATTTTCTTCAAAAGCAAACAATATTCTTAAAAGGAGCCACCCTTAGTTTCCCAATTATCTTTGATTGGATAACTTACAGTTTTGTGTAAGATTGAACTTATTCTTGAATTCTCAATACAAAGAGAAGGTCAACGCCCACCTGACTCGGGCGTCTAAACAAATCATAAGTAGGTTAAAAGTAAAAAAGTTATCAAACGTCGGGCACAGCAACTGCTAAAAAGTGGGAGGAAAGTGGGTTGATGGATGCGTTGGTAATAAAGCAATTTCGTTCCCATTCCCGCTGTCTAAACGCAGTAAAGAACGCTAGTAACGTAACCCTTGCACATATTACCTTACCAAACCGAATGCTGATAGAGGTAAAGAGTTGGTATTCATCACGTTTTTAGAAGTAGGTCCGATAACATATACGTTATCTGGAGACCACAGAGAGAAAAAGGTCTAAACCATCAGCTCTAGCTTTGATCAGTTTACTTGAAGCCTGCTCTCCCTAATTGTTCCAGAGTAAGCTAATTTAAAAGGGTGAACTTTACGGATGCTAAACTTAGGAGGCAGAGGAAGTGAGGCTATGACTTACACATCCAATGGTGTCACTATATTTCATCACTGCCATTTAATGCTGTCTCTAATCACGTTCAACTTCCTCTTCACCGACCTCAAAATGCCTTTTAAAGTATATAAATATAAGAAAACAGAAACATAATAGAAATGACGCCCACGCGAAATTGTCTTCACGGGAACAAATTATACCCCTCCCCAACGCCCACAAGAAATTGTTTTCACGGGAACAAATTACCCCCCCCCCCCCCCAACGTCGTTAAAGCTATTGTGGACTCAGATAAATAATGATTACTAGATAGCTGCCTGGAGATATTAAACATATCTGAATTTAACTGGAGATATTACGCATATATTGACCACATCGAGTAAGACCCAGTGGCAAGACTTAAAAAGAGCTGTCATAATCGATCATCGGGCCAGGTGTCCAACCTCAGTTATGCCCCAATTCGAGACAACCAGGTTTCGCCATCTTTTTCAACAACAAACTCTTTAATAAATGTTATACCCAAGGAATTCATATACATGTATGTATACGTGTATGTTCTCTTATTTTGTCTTGTATAAATGAAATTCCATAATGGGTTTATCGGGATATAAATGTTATTCAAATTCTTTTCACTGAAGACATTTTTATTGAAAAAGAAGGCACAATAGGTAGCTAGCGCGTCGTTCATTACCACCGTTGTTTAGAGTAGGATGTTCTTGTATCCACTTTGTTTTTGTCGCTATTTGATTGTTGCTATGCATGATTTACTGGAGTGGTTTCCTGCTGTTATGATTCTTCAGCCATTCTTTCCCCAGTGTTATTGCCATCGATTTTCGTGCTGGGTATTGGAAAGTGCACCCTGAAGATATAGTAGCAAAGCACTCGCAGTAACAGGAGTGGAATACTGACAAAACCCCGGAGAAACCGTGAGTACCGCTGCACTCAGGGTGGGCGGTATAGAGAACATTTAAGTAGGTCTAACATTGGGCTTTTGTTTTAAGGACGAAGAAAAAAGCCTTGAGTGGTTCTATGACACGATCCAGGCATATTCTTATCAATCTGTAGATTAATGGACTTGTACATATACACACATGATGGCCTTTAGGTAACGCCGAAAACACATTTAGGAAGAAAAAAAGGTTATTGGGAAGGGTTTCACCTAAAGGCTGATCAGTTTGCGCAAATGGAAGCCAATTATGCATCCTGAAATAAGGAGGCTGTATTTATGACGCTGTTGTGATAACCCCCTTTTTCCTGGTAGAGTTTTATGAGGCTATATATTATGTATGTTCAACCAACACTTGTCTTACAACTGACAAATGTTTTTTTCTACCGAACCATATAAAAGATTTTTTTTTTTGAAATTGCCGTCATTTGTTGACAATAATTGCCATGCTTATGATAGTGGTTATCGTACGCCTTGGTATTGAACATCTATTGCATGTTGCAAAAGCTTCCTTCCCTAGAGTACAGCTAGAACATCCCGACTGCACTGTTGTTGTGCATTAGAGTTCAATTATACCTAATTGCTCAAGAGTTTTGGGCAGCCGTATCTGTGCTTTTAACAATTTCATATAGTTTCAGCCAGATGGTAAAAAGCCCGTCATTGATACAGGCCAGTTTAGACTCGTCCTCTGTTTGTTCAAACGTGACTATTTTTATTTTGTGGGCCATTTGCCATCAAATATTGTGGCGATTTTACTAGGTTCGACACAATTTCTAACCATAGGGACCAAATCTTATCCCTTTGTTGTCCCGCCCATAATTAAGTTGCAAGTCAGAGATTCTGCCTTAAGAATTTATGTGTCTGATTTTAATTTAGTCAGGTGTGGCATAATTATACCAGCTTTACATATTAGTTAGGTCTACGGTTACTACTCAACAGTACGCGAACGGTCGTTTTGCGTTCTTCCTAGTGGGCAGAGAGACTTATAAATGTAACTCCACCGCTTCTGAACAAATGACTAGAATGCTAACAAGCAAAGGAATCTGAGTCGAGTGAAGTCTCCGGGTAGCGGAGGATCTGAAAGAAAAGCACCACATTAGACGGGCGATATCGACGTAAAATTGCGTGCACTTAACTTCAGGCGCCATTGCAATTGATTATAGTTGAAAAAGATCTTTTTGGACGTTTTGATATTTCTTTTCTACGTTAAGTGTGCATATATGGATTGGCTCCACAAAAATTTGTACACGTTTGATGGAAAAGTGCAACATTTTTATCATTTGCATTTCGTTTTCCAGAGAAAATGCTGTAATTGGATACTGTTACCGTTCAAAAACGTTTTAGCGATATATACCCATTTTAGTTAATCGATAAAAACAGGATTTAAATTTGACATTGAAATGTTGATATATAAAGAGTTATCAAAGGTGTTTTCTATCGGTTATTAATATCTTAAGCATTTTAACAACGTAACCGATTCCACTTCCACATTTCAGAGAAGAAGGTCGTAGTAGGGAGGAAAGCAGAATTCCTCCCAGAGGCTGGGGAAAACAAGGCGTACGTACTACTCAGCTACATTTTCCCTTGCGAGGGGACCATCTTAAGCTGGGAGTATTTCCGTAGAGACAGTGTCATAACTCCCTATGCCTGCGTATGGCGCCGCGTAGCGGAGAACGGACCGCACTGTTACATGCTGGTCGGCTACACGGAGCTCCCACCTAGTGACTCAGTGGACGGCCATCAAGTCGTCCCCATAGATCCCTCAGAGAGAATTCAAGTAAAACCAGGAGATATCCTCGGGATCTTCCATTCTGTATACAACATCCACGGTGCTGTTGCCACGGCGAAGAAAGACCAGGGTGTGGATGAGGATTTGCACTCGACCATCCTTGCAGACGTTTACGAGGAGGACATTGACATAGGTGACGTTGTGGACTTTCAGGAGAAAAACATGACGTGTGAAAAACGATCATTTTCGATACGGGCCCATGTGCAGCCCAGTTGAAGTGTCGCTGCTTTCGTCTGACTTTAACTGCTTAATGACGGTGCTTGCGATAGTTGGGGCTCTTAACGGCATTGATTGTGGTAGTTGGGATCCCAGCAAATCACAATGCGCTCTGTGTCTTCCAACAAAAAATGATTTCAGTACGGATAGCGGGTGCAGGGCACCCTGACGCTTAATGCGTACTCTAGATAATGTTTTAGTGAATCTTGATTTGAAGAAACGAAACCTTAGTTTATGGAGCCTTATACCACGAATAAGCGTTATTTTTGAAAAAAAAATGGCTGGTGTGCTTTCACGTTCTTGAATGGAGGGAATATTTTTGTGCCTTGATTTATGCCTGTAGTTAGGTGCTTAAAGTAATGACTGGTCGTGGCATGTGGATGGTTGTTTTCTACATTATATGCAAATTTATTTAATTTTGTAACTGTGACTTCATATTATTAGATTATAATACTCATGTAAGAAAACTTAGTGTTAAAAAGATATTTTCCTACAATCTCGCTCTCTCGATCTCCCTTTTCTTCTTTTTCTCTCTTGTTCGAAACTTGCTCTGTAATTGCTATTATTGCATTCTACAATGATGCAATCCTGTCATTCAAATGTACAATGCTTCATCCGAAGGAATAAATCTAATTTTTGCGATTTGAAAACAATTTTTATTTAAAACAAAAGAGCTGCAAAATGTTGAGAAATGCAGGTAGTACTAACTCAATAGTTCCTATGGTGGTTGAATATGAATTGCTGTGCAATAGAAGATTGCAGTTAGACATAACTTTTTGAAAAGAATCCTTGGATAAATTCTGTCGGCTTTTATTACTTGTCGCACCGCAATCGTAAGTGTTACTAATGTTTGACATAAATACCTAAACATGGCGCTACTGTGCCTTTCTGGTATGAAAAATAATCAATGAACTTCGCGTATAATTGCAAAGAATTAGATCTAAATGTCGTAAGGGTGGCCTGCGTTTGATGAATATCCATCAGTTCTGTAAGTTTCAAACCAAAAGGTAAAACAGTTTACCACTTATCGTGTTATAGGTGTTGCATAGATGCTGAAAAAAGTCAAGAAAACAGCATAACTTTGGAAAATGGCCCGATCATGCTGATTTTCGAATTCGACCTGCGTATTATGAATATTCATCAGTTCTGTAAGTTTCAAGTCAAAAGGTAAAACGGTTTTCCACTTATCGTATACGTTCTGTTGCCGACGCACTCTGAAGCTATTCACCAAGTTCACCCTTGCCCTCTGATGCTTCTAATAGCTTCTAATATAGTATACAAAATTTAAGTGTGCCATGCAATAATTTTGTAACAGACTACTAGCGCACCTTGTGGTAAGAGAGTAGTTCACGCTCTAGCTAAAGCCTCGGGCACAACCAGCCGTGCGGGCTCTTACGGGCTGTTTGCGTCTAAATTTTGCGCAGAATCTCACGTCCCACGCAAGTCCTTCTTACGAAATTTCGTAACTTGCCCCCCTCGCAAAGAGTACGCAAGTGAGACGTGCGTGGTCCAAGACGCACGACGCAAACAATGAAGGAGCAAGTGCCCTTTGTGTGTTGAAAATGCCAGAAATGGAAAAATGAAAATTTCACAAAATTTTATACAAACAAGCTGGTTTTACAATTTGAGCTATATTGAGCTAAGAATCATTCTTTTAAGTTTTAAAAAAATGATAAGTAAAACAGTTTTCCACTCCTAAAAAATTATGCACAAAATAAGTAACTGCGAATTCTCATGCAATAATACATTATGCTTAACAATAAAATGCCTAAGAATTGAATCTGATTATGAGGAAAAACTACTAATATGCAAAAAAGGGGCATTACTTCATCAAAACTAAACCAATTAAATCAAGATTACTTTTCGAACTTGATCTGTATATCCCCCCCCCCCCCCCCCCCCCCCAGATCTTATTGCTAACGAATCTCGGGAACCATCAAAATTGAATTAAAAACACGGAATTCCACGGAAAAAGCTCATCTCTGTTATTAGTCCTTTGAATTGATCCTGCAAGTATGAAAGCAAAATATGACACAGTTTTCACGTTATCTGTAAAGCTAAATAAACAGCAAAACTTTTGGAAAAATGGTCCAATCAAGCTTATTTTCAGTCAAATTTATTACTTTTTTGAGATTGCAGACAACAGGCCTATCAGTTTTCTTTGACATGTTATCAGTATAGCATATATGCTGAAAAAAAAGCAAAACTTTTGAAAAATGGCCCAATCACGCAGATTTTTTAACTCGACTTCAATTTTATGAATATTCATCAGGTTCATTAGACAAAAAGGTAAAACGGTTTTCCATTTATCGTGTTATCCCTGAGAGTGTACGATAATGATGGTGATGGCTATGTGTACAGACACATCTATATCTGTACATAAAAATTGCTGTATAATATGAATCTTGTCAAATTAAAACAAATGCACAAATCAGGACAAACATTAAAATGGTACAGATACAAGTTTACCTTTGACTTGCTCCGCAAATATGATTTTTCATTTTTGCATCCCCAACCGTGCGGCTATGATCCCCTCGTTATGTACAGACACAGATTTTTCATAATAAGGTCACATTGCAAACGCCAATATGTGAAAAATGAAAAAAAAAAGCCAACATGTGAAAAACTGCATTGCTACCGGAAAGAAATGCAATCAGACTGATTTTCCAACTCAGGCTGTCGGTCATATGCATCTTTTTCAGTAACTTTGAGGATCATAAGTAACATGTTTAACTTCCAGAAAAATTAACCAATCAGAATGGTTTTCCAAATGAAGCTGTATTTTTGTCCTATGTTTCTTTGTTTCTTTCTGTAAGTGTGAGAAGAGTAAGTTACATGGTTTTCCTTTAATGGTCATTATGATGGCAAAACTATGACTATTACTATGACTACGTATAACTTCAAAATTGAGTTTTCTTCAATTTTGATGCAATATTACATAGCAGCATATCTTTAATTATGGACTGCAAGTAACAAGAATATTAAGTTCGTCATGCCCATGGAAATTCAAAGTTACCCTCATNCAATATCTAAACAAGAGATACCTGTACTGATACAGCAGTTCCCGTGGACCAAGTGGGACAGGTGCTGCCAATTAAATATCAGAGCTGGGAAACATTCCACCTTTGTACCTTTTAAAATTTGCCAGTGGTGCTAAAAAACTATTCTGTACAGCAAATGGGCATTTGTCTGCACTGCCATGTGTCCTTAGACAAAAAGCCTTTATAGAATATACTATCACAACCAAAGAACACAAATACTGTCTAAAATACTATTTAATTCAATCTTCCAAGACTCTGCTCTCTTACAATCCATCTTCCATGCTATTCCATATGAGCTCTTAAAAATCGAGTTGTTTACAATACAAATGCATGTGTAGCACTTTGCCTTTTGGAACAAAAAATGTTGCTTAATAAAACACTCGTTGAGACTTCTGCCTTTCAAAATATAATGTTGTATGTTTAAACATATAATTGTTCCCATCATTTTTTTTTCATTTATAACCCGGTGATGTATAGCATATATCAGATTCCTCTGACTGTTCTATCTCAAGCCATATCTGCATATATATGTTATTATATATGTAAATATTATGTTCACTTTCTAGGTCTTCCTAGTCTTCCATCAGCAGTTTGCTTAAAGTTCTGTGAATGTTTTAAGTCTGCAAATCTTGCTTTTTCACCACAATGGGCGCCTTCCCAATAAAACTATCGTTCTATGTAGATCGATTTAACTCAGTGTGGAATCTCACTGAATGCATGCAGATTAACACGCCTACTCGTTTCCAACATTCTCGGAGGAGGCCGCATGTTTATCTGTTAATGTGATGGCATTGAGCAACAGTACCCCCAGAGGTGGATGTATCTACATATAATGAAAGTTTCACTGGTAACTCGCCCTATAGGTACTGTAATAACATGTCTCTTAAATTTAATCGCCATCCTTCTTTTTCTTCTTCTTCTTTTTCTTAGGAGTTTCATCAGTTTCCATAGCAGCCGAAACATCTGCCTCCCCAGGGCTTTCCATTTCTGCCATTGATCTCTTTTTCTTTTTCTTCTTCTCCTTTGGAGTTTCCTCAGTTTCCATGGCAACAGGCTGATCATTAGTAACGGTTTCCTCCGTCTGCTTTTTCTTTTTCTTCTTTTTCTCAGACTGGGGCTCCTCAGCAACTGTGCTGTCATCAAGTTCTGTCGTGGTGTTTCCTGCTTCAGACAGTCGTTTCTTCTCCTTCTTTTCTTTCTTTTTCTTCTTCCTTTCCTTCTTCAGGGCCTTTGCCGAGGCCTCTTTTGCCTACAGAAGAAAATGATCATTTAATAGTTTATCACATAAGTAATGATTTAATGTAAAGAGAAAGCTTTTTGATTACATATCATAACTGTCAATCAATGTCCCTGTCTAGAACACAAGTCTGTTTATGGCTGGTAGCTGTTACTTTCCATTCCCATCTGGTATCTGATGACCAGAAATAACTCTATCATCAGACATAGAGGGCAGAGCTTCCCCGTTTACCACCAATAAAGAATTACATCAACATTAACGCCAGACTTGTTTAGGATGCCCAAAAGATGACAAAAAAGCCTGTACAATTTTGAGTCTTGACCAGGAGCTTTAATACTTTGATATATAATTTTAGTAAGAAGCCAAGACGAGAAGAAAAGGGAAGTATTATTTCATTATCATAACATAGCAATTTAATTTAAGGCTTTGACAAACTATTCCAACAACAACGTGCGATATAAACAATAGCTCTACTCCTTGATTCCGTTTGTCTTTACCACAGGACTAAGTTTACCTCTTCTATTGCCACTTTCATGACATCAATGTTCTTCTTGGGTGCATCTCCAGTTTCATAGAACTTCAGTCTATCTTCTACCTGCTCTCTTAAGTGATCACCAAACACTGATGTTGGAACCTCTGAAAAATAGACAAATGAACACAATTAACTTTCACTGAACAACCACTTTGTATGCTGCCCTTCTCTCTATCATACAGATATAAAACTCTGATAAACCTTCTCAGGTCTGGACATACCACACTCTGTAGTGGGAATGGCCTCAATTTACAAAATGTTAAAACATCGTAGTTTAAATCTGCAACCTACAGACCTTATGGGTAAAAACCTTGACAATTTTATGAATATTGGATTAATACCCCCTCCAATGTCTTTTATTTGATAAATAATTACCATGAACTTGAAATAATTATGGAATGAAATTAAATGCACATTATAACAAACTGAAAATTTTAAGGAAAAAAATGTGATTTTGTGTAATAACAAAAAGCAGAAAGAATTTGCTTGGGGCTGCTTAAGGTAAAAAAAAAAAAAAAAGAAAAACATGCCACTTACCAGAGAAGCAGTCTAGTCTGGATGCAATAGAGCACTTGTTGGCAAGGTATCGGGAGATCCTGCCTTTGTTCTTGGCCCCAGCTCGCCCAATGAATGTTGAATGGAATATCAAACCATATTTAGGTGTGTTGCCTCTTGTTTTCAGGGCTCTGAGAAAAAGTAAAATGTTGGATATGAAATATGTAAAAATTCTTCAACCTCAAAACAGTCCTTAGTTGTATGACAAGTCATAGGTGTCTAGCAGACTGTACATCAACCATTCAAAGAAAGACTTATCTTTCTGATATTTCAGTGATTCGTATGTGTTAAAGCCATATTGGACAGATGGTTTTAATTCACAACCAAAAAATTACTGCTGAATTGTTACTTAGATGGTAACAAACTGGAAAGACATCTCTTTCTGGCAATGCAGTGACTGAAACATAACAAAAAAAAAAAAAAAAAAAAAAAAATTGACCGTGAAGTTAACGAATAAGATGTTACATACCTGAAGAGAGCTTTCTCAGCTCCCAGGATCTGTACAGTGGAGGCTGGGTACTTGGCCAGGCTGGTAAGACTGCCAGCATGAGAGATGAGTCGAGCTCCAACCTAGTTGAATAGAAACAGAAACTAAAAGCTTCACCAAAGCAATACTGGACCCTTTCCCTATGAGAAATTGCTTTTGGCAAACAACTAAAAATTTTGGCCAAAATTTAACTTTTTGAGTAAACAATATCTACAAAGCTTTTTTTCATAAGTCAAAGTAAATTGTCACCAAACAACTAAAGTAGATAAGTCAATATGCCAACATGAGCCTAAACTTCAAACTTTATGTTCTCTTAACTTCTTCGACTACTCTTTTCTATCTGTCACGATGTGCCTTACCTGCTCTCCAATGAGAGCTGCCAGGTTGGGGGCAACTGCATGCATCTTGCTTTGCAGGTATTCAAACAAACTCTTCCTGTAGTCAGCCAGTGCTATGACACGGTCAGCAAATCTCTGAATGTTGATCAGGTCAATAGGGGAGATGTCCATTCCTGAAAGGTAATTACAAATTGTATATGACAAATAAACCAAGCTTTTCCAATTGTTCTAATGTAATTCTCTGATTTTTTTTTTTTTTGGCCACTCTATTCATAACATGCCGATTATACTGCTGGAACACATGTAAAACAATGGGTCAAACATCAGCTGCAATCCATTCCATTAATCATTTAACAATGGTATGTAAGAGCTTAAATGCTACCAACCAAGCTATGAATCAATCAATTTAAAATGAATAAACAATGCCCTTGGAGAGTTTCCTAAATGCCTGATAACACTCACCCATTGAAGACTTGCTGGCATCTATTATGGCCTTTGCCTTGGCAGCATCCATAACAATCTCCTCTAGTCCCTCGACCATATCTTCTGTGAACTCCTTCCTGTTCTTGATGTACTTGGCCACACGGGCAAACATGTAGTTGTCATTCACAATCTTCACCAGCTCTGGGAAATGGTAGGAATACCATTCTCTGGAAATTTTTAATGAATCAAAATTGATGCAAAGTAAACTGTATGAAGAAACATAGTGGCCAACTGATGCATGATCACAGACAAAAAGACTTTATTGCCATAAATTTGAAGTCAGTGCATTGTTTATCAATCTGTTACCAAATCTTTAATTACCAGAAGACTGTTATGGTAAAAAAAAATTCTGACAAAAACGCAGCAAACTTTGCAAAAAGCAACACCTTTTGAAATACACTTTTAAAACAGACATTCTTTTCATTCTGCAGCTCTTCATCAAAGACTTTTTTAACATCCAAAAACTTACCTTATTCTCATTGAAAATGTGTTGATATCTTTGTCCAGCTGATCCAGCAAGCAAATACTCTGTATAATCATGTTGTCCTGTCTGTTCACATTGAACTTCACTTTAGCTCTGGAGTAGCTATGGCCCAGACCAAGCTGGGCTTTCAGGGATGAGGTGGCTGTCAGCCCTTTCACCATGTTGTGAAAGTGAACTCTGATGCCTGAACAAGAAAACCATGATGACAACATAAGGTATTAAGATAAATGAAAGCAAAATGTTCTACTACGACATTACCGGCTTTACTTCCATGGTTAATCATCCATTAATTCATGATCCATCAATTCTGCTTTGAAAAACTTTAGTTTAAATGAAGGCTAATAATAACAGGTAACATGAAAAATTAAAAAAAAAATATTTATGAATCTTTTGAAGATTAATTTAAAATTGCAATAACCACATTACATAAGGAGGTTCCCTGAAAAAACCTACAAAGTGAAGCTACCTATTTTCACTACGTAAAATTTTTCTATGCAGAAATAAACCAGTTTGGAGTAAAAAAATGTTTTAATAATTTCTCTTAAAAATGCAAAAGATATCAGGTCAATTATGTCATGCTTTTGTATGTCACCTGTACCCTCAACCTTCCTCCAGCTTCCCTCATCCTGCATCTTATCACAATCTCAGCCCCAAGTGGCCAACATATGGCCCTGTGAACAAAACTGTAATAAACTGCAGATTTATGAAGCTAAATGCCAGGCCCAGGAACCACAGAAAATTATAATATTATTAGTGCAAATATCTTCATTCATGTTCACTATACCTCTAATAATTTCCGGCACTACCCCAGTGTGCTGGCAGCTGATGCCTAGCTGTTCTTGGATAGCTGCTCCTATCTTGGAATCCCCAACTCCCAGAATGCACTTCTCCTTCTTGCCAGGCTTTGGAAAGTTTGTCTCAAGGAATAGGTGTAAATCATCATGAAGTACGCCTGAAATGTGGAATACACAGAATATATACCTGACAACACCAATTTGAAGAGTACCTTTACCAATGATAAATTTTATCTATATAAAAGAAAAGAACATGTTTTGGACAATACTTGCATGATAAGCAGGAAGACTTTGTTTGGCAATGCTTGCATCATTACAAAAATAAATTCACTCTGAAAGACTGCAATTTATATAAAAGTAACTGCCAAAGCAAACCCAGTTACGTACAAGTATGTTTTAAAATACCTGGAATATCAGGATGTAAAATGTTACATAAAAAATAGAAAAAAGTGCAAATGATGTGCATGCACAACATACCTTCAGATATACTGTTTATGTTGTCCAAAGCGTTGTGTCCACTCTTGAATGGTGAGAATGCTACTAGTTTAACGATGGAATTGAAGCGACTGAGGTCTGTGACACTTTGTTCCACTTGGGGAATCATCATCCCCACCTCTTCAAACTCTGTCACTCTGAACAGTCCATACCCAGAGGCATGCTCAAAGAGCACATGGAGTGTTTGGGCCTAAAAATGAAATATTCAATTCTTGTGCAAATGCAGGGGCTCTTTAAATCAGACATGAGCCTAGGTTTATAAAAAAAAAAAAACTCTGAACATTTATCCTGGGACCCAACACCTAACCTTGACGAATCTCTAGAACCATCAGAATTGAATTAAAAAATGCGGAATTCCACTTTTCCGCAGAAAAAGCTCATATGTCTGTTAAATTCTAAAATTCTGTTATGAATTATAAACATTGTTTGCAGTGTGTATAGGGGGAATCATGTGGCATGAATTTTCCTTTCCTATTCATATTCTCTGTGCTAATGCCCCTCAAACAATCACAACCCTATTTCAAAATTATAACACAACCCCAGAACAAAATACTGTAAGTAATTTTGTAGGCAGTTCTTCAAATCTTTCATACCACCTACATATACAGGAGCCAATCTGGTAGCTTTTTAAGTTGACTGTGCATAAAATCTATTCAGAAAAGATGTGTTGATCAACCCCCCCCCCCCCCCCCCAACAACAATAAACATCCCGTGTTTGTCCATCTTTCAACTGAATACAGTGAAATCGTGCAAAACTGCAGTAGATCGCAAAAACTCTTGATTCTCAAAAATAAAATTTACAAGCGGCATCATAGAAATTCAGTGTACTATTACTGAGATCCAGATGTATGATCATGTGAACAGGTTTTTAATTTTTGGCTTCGGCAAAGGACAACGCACATGCTCGACCTTCAGATGTAAATTTGGACCTAATCAAAAGGCATGGATTACAAGATGAATAATACAGAAATATCATTACACTTTACACAAACCACCCATTCTAACTAGCAGTAACTTTAATTCGTCAACTTCTTGAACATAAATTTGAGTATAAGTTATCTACTGCGCTGCACGTGGACCACACTTACCACCATCTTGTCTGGCCACTACAGTGGATAAAGTAAAAGTAGGAATGATCAATTTACAAAGGCCAACTCTTCAAAACAAATAAAAACATTTGTTATTATTAATGATCTAATAAACAAAATGGTAAAAATTATCATAGCATTAAATGGTTTACACAACCTAAATATATTAAAATATCGATTAAAACTTTATTGACTGTAGTGATTTTGAAAATCTCGTATAAGACATCCCCTTGCATTGGACAATACCTATACTCACGTGACTTTTGTTGTGGAATAGTCCAATCAAAAATGGCTTCACACGATACGTATGAATGGCCAAACTTCGGGAAAACAAGGCGGTAAGCATGGCATGTAAACTTTAGCGTGTTGGTTCTTGTGAACAAACCCAACCAGTTATTTATTTTAACTAAAATTTGAATAGGTATTGTAAGACACAGTAATTAACAGCCATATGTTTTTGTCAAATAATGCCTAACGCCCTGATCTAAGCTGCGTAATGATAATTAAGTGTGCCCTCAATGTGAATGGCGTGGATGGTTGCAATGTAAATGTAACACAGAACTATTAAAAGTAGTGTAGATTCACACTACTTTTAGCATTGATAATAACTGATCTTGTGCGTGTAATGTATAATATAATCATGGTAATTTTTTTATTCTTTCGTTGTTATGTCTGACTACTTTCCATCTTTGTGCAGCTTGAATGGTATTAGGACAAACGCTACAAGTATGTATCGGGTGTCCCATAGGCTGGTAAAAGATGTACTGGATACAAAACATGTACTAGTAGCAGTGTGAAGGGAATGCTAGCTCTGTACATGACTCTGTCTATGCTTAACTTATTGATTTATATCAGGTTGTCAAAATTTCAGGGCCACAACAAAATGAAGTGAACTAGACTTTCTATTAGGATGGCAGGGGGTACAAGAGGTAAAATAACACTGTAATCTGAGTACAGGATATGAAAGTTTTTGGCAGATGTAGATAAAGATACTGGTATAATGACGCAACATAAGAAATTAATTTGAATTATTTTATGAGTTTCTTTTGCATAAATATGATTAAAGCTTTAATGAGAATTTTTTTGAAAATTATTAAATACCATATAAGTTAACAAGATCTTCCCATATTTGTAAAAAAGTAACTATCACATTATGGTCTCCATTATTATTTGCCATTGATTTATTTATAACACGTACATTTTCTTTTGCTTTTCAGCTTCTGATAAGAATGCTCAGTTGGTCCACCTGAATGAGTTGAATCCTTTTCTGACTTGTGGTATATGCAAAGGATATCTCATTGATGCTACAACTATAACTGAGTGCTTGCATTCTTGTAAGTATGTCGCTTAAATGAATGTCTCCATATATGCTTTCTTCCATTTAACAGTCTTTAAGTTGTTTTGAAATCTTCTTCCCAGTTTCTGGTAATAAGTTTACGTTATAGTTTTTACTTTAAAAAGATATGCACAAGTTGAAAGCTTTTACATGCAAAATTCATGTTTAATTGGCCCAATATTAGGCTGTATTCATAAATAACCTTTCCTCAATGTCATTCTTATAACTGCATCTTCTGTTTCAGTTTGCAAGTCATGTATTGTGCGCCATGGTCAGTTTTATCTAAACTGCCCCACATGTAATCTCCAGATTCATCCCACTCTCCCCCTGTTACACTGCAAGTTAGTAAATGGTTTACAAATATTAGACAACATGTAAAGTTTATAATACAATTTGAAAAATGGTCTATAACCTTTGTTTACCTATAAATAAATTTAATTGATTTTTGATTGAGCAGTAAAGATGAATTTATTTTATTAGCAAGGGTCTTTGATATACAGAGAATTAATATAGTGTGACTCCTGTTCTTTTATTTCAGACTGGACAGTCAGAAACAGGATATTGTTTTCAAATTACTCCCAAACATTTATAAAAGTAAGTTTTGCAGTTAGTTTCAAACTGTAACCTGTAGTGGTCCCAGATTTTGATGATGTTCATTTAAAAGAGTTTAAAAGCACAGGACAGAAACAAAATTGCCAAGTATTCATTTTCAGACAGCTTCTGAGTACTATAGTAAATGTACATATGATAATAGAAGTAGGTAGATTAGATATCAATGAAAATTTACTTGTTTTGCATGTTGAATTTCATCTAAGAATGAAGTGTTTAGTATAGGAATTTATTGTTCTTTACAGATGAACAGAAAAGGAGAAAATTATTTTGGAAAGAATACCAGAATAAAACAGGAGGTGAGGCATTAATTGATATGGAGAATGCTTTTTACTTTTCCACAGAATTTTTGTCATGTGCATTCATTTCCTCATTTGATCATGCAGCCATACTGTGTTTTATAAAACTGTTATCAAAATTAAGATGGTAATCATCTTGTTCACCTGTTATATGTTGTATAGAACTTAAAATAAAATACTGTTCATTCTTTTCTATTTTTTAAGAAAAACCTGTACAAGTGCCTATGCTGGGTAAAAGTCCCAGAAAGAAGAAAAAAGTGCTCATTCAGCCTGACCCACTAGCGTCTGTAGTTCTGGAATATGTAGGGTGAGATATTACTCAAGGTTCATGCTGTGTCAGTGACTCTTTTCAGTTTTGCCTTTACCTACAGACTGTTTTTTATTCTTTGCACACATTGACTTTTAATAAATGTTTTATGGTTAAATTATTGGAAGTTAAATCTAACATATGCCTTTTTTGACCAACAAAGTTAATTATTTTCAGCATTTGTTAAAGTTTCGACTTAAG